GGAGATGGAGGCAGAGGTATGAATGTGGTACAGCGGGCAGTGGTACGCACAGGCAATGTGTAGGCCTCGTGTGCTGTATCGTGACAGGCGGTCTAAATTAAGTTTTCATTTCCTATTCGACCACAAAACAAAACAAACAAATGAAAACTACCAATCATGGCGGGTAAAAATAAGAGTGCACACTTAGGCCCACTTACAAAGGGAAATAGCACAGGAAACGTTCTATATGAAAATCTCTGGATTATATCTACTTCACACTCAAGCACGTTTCGGCATTAAGCACGCTCATGCTTTCTCCCGATGACCGTGCTTAAAGCCGTCATGGACTGTATAATATAATTGGCCAGCTGTTCAAATTCAATTGTACTGCGCTCAAAATTTTGAATTGAAAAAAATATAGCAGTTTCTCAGTTCTGAACCTTTGGTATCAGTCAGTTGCATGCGCTCAAAAAATGATTTGTCCAAATTCAGAGTCTAAATATTGTTAAAAGCAAGAAAATATTCGTAGTGTAGGTGCAATTGTTAAAATTAAAAGAATGACACCGTATTTTTCTCCGACTCTGAAAAAGATTTGCTGTCTGGTCTTAGAACATTTCAACAGCTCACAGATAGCATATAAAAAAAACACGTTTTTTTTCCGTCCCTATTGACAGAATTTAGGTCACTTAGGAGGCAGGCATCAGCCATGTCTGTCAGGGCCAACCAGCACAAAGCTGAGAGGTATACAACAACCCAGCAGAAAGACCGAGATACTCAATTAAAATTCTCCCCACTCGTGTCTCCTGCTAGCAACAGTGAAGTTCTTAACTGTTACACCACAGACGCCAGTCCACTGTATATCAAAATGAAGATAGATAAAAGAATTAAGAAAGAGATGATGTATAAATCAGGAAAAGAAATTGCACTGAACAGGTCTATTATTATTTTTTTCAAAAAGCGTCTGTTTATGATGGGAGATAATACCAAATCAAAGATAAGAATTAAGATTGGCACAGGCGGAGCACTGTCAATCATTGATGTATTGTGGATTGGTACAGACAGAGTAAAGAAACAACATTTTTTCATGCTGTCTGAATATGACTATGACATGTCCTTTCACCCTGAGCACACAAATGGGAGCAAAACCAAATCATCATTGCAAAGAAATGTGAAAATTTATTCATTTGTCTGCACATGACAAGGCAGAATATCAGCGAGCCCCTCTGGCAGTATGTTCAGTGTACATAACACAAAGACAAGTCTCACATAGACCTTCCAATGCATTGACTCAATTACCATCCTGACATCTCCGACATATTTCTTAATCTAATACTTATAGTAAATCAGCACAGAGATATAAGGAAAAGGGAATACCTGAAATTGGTCATACATATAAAAAGTATTGCTAGTGTTAATGATTTTAAAATTGTAGTGCCCTCTAGTCGAAGATTAAACAAGAAACTCCATCTCTCCCTCTCTTTCCATACCCTCCCCATGTCGCACTACTTACATACACACACCATTGAAAAACCCATATATATGTATAATAATAATAGCATAACTCTAAAGCAGGAACTGTAAATGAGAAGTTCATAACAGGTTTCAAGTTTATCTATTGCTATTGTTTTTAATTCGGCGTCATATAAAAGTCACCACGACTTAATTTCAAACCAGTTGCACTCTGCTGATAAAGAGATAATGCCTCAGCCTGCATATCATTCTGCCATTCTGCATTCACACATCAAATTGACACACACAAGACCAAACACACAGTATAAAATTTGCAAAGCAAAATGAATCACAAAGCCTAAGAGATACATACACACACACGCACACACACACAATATATATATATATAAATACAGCTAAGTACTTTTAACTCTCCTCCTCCATGTCTAGGTTGATGTTGTTGCCAAACTTGGCGTAGAGGGCAGTCTTCAGCTCACTCAAGGTGTCCTTGAAGCCTTCTGCCTTGGCCTTGAGGCCGTCTATTTCCTGCTGGCACAGCTCCTTGGCCTTCTCCAGCTCTGCCTGGGCCTCCTCCATCGTCATCTCCACCAGCACTTCGCCAATTTGATATGTACGTAGAGTTAAGAAACAACACCCTTGCTGGTTTATTCCAGTTCTAGTCTAAGGCTCAACTATTTGACTAATGAAAAAAATAAAACACGGGATGGAGAGGGAGAGGGAGAGGGAGAGGGAGAGAGAGAGAGAGGGAGGGAGGGAGGGAGGGAGGGGGAGGAGAGAGAGAGAGAGAGAGAGAGAGAGAGAGAGAGAGAGAGAGAGAGAGAGAGAGAGAGAGAGAGAGAGAGGGGGAGGGGGAGGGGGAGGAGAGAGAGAGAAAGAGAGAGAGAGAGAGAGAGAGAGAGAGAGAGAGAGAGAGAGAGAGAGAGAGAGAGAGAGAGAGAGAGAGAGAGAGAGAGAGAGAGAGAGAGAGAGAGAGAGAGAGAGGGGGGGGGGGCCTCCTCCCTTTCCATACTTCTCCAAATATTCCTATTGCTAGGTCTATCTTAATACAATAATACATTCATAACAACAATGGGAAATTGAAAATTGTGGGGGTGAAAAAAACAAGTATGCAGAAGAATCATAAGATATTCCTGTGGGATGAGTTCTCTCAAATCTCATAAACCCAGTTTTCATTTTGCAAAGCCCTCCCTTGGGAAAGACCTACTTGTGCAATATTGCAAGAGCCCCGATAGATAACTACAGTGGAGTCCACTTATAACGAGTCCTGAAACAACGAGAAGTCTGTTATAAAGACACTATTCTAAAAACCCCTTTTTTCTCCTTCTTTATCTTTGTAAATAAAATACTGCTATAGCGCAATCAGACAGTCACGGTTATAGCGGAATACTGCTGCTGCACAGACCAATTAAACATTATTATAAAACCTTGCCAGTTGAGAAAGTTGTTGGTAATCCAGCGAAACAAAGAATGGGAGAGCCCACACGAATCAACAATGTAGGCCGGAGCGAATGAGTGGGGAGGGTGTGGCATGCACAGACAAGCAGAACGCATCGCGTGATAGGCCAGCCCAGTCTAGATTATCTAGGCATATCGTGCCTCTCACTTCTCTGGTGTGGGATGGAGAGGTCACAATGCTATGATATGGATGGAGTGAATGTGTGACGTGCGCAAGCAGACGCAATGCACCACAGTGTGTGGTGGGGTGGGGGATAACACAGCGGGCGAGTCAGCCTTGAGCCAGAGCCCCTTCTCCCTGAACGCCAAGGCCGATACGTCAACATTGCTAGTGTTAGAGAAAGAAACCTGATTCGATTTTTGATCAAGTAAGACGTTGAGATCATGTTGAAAAAATCATCATCAGGGGAAATACAAAAAGGAATAAACAGAACGCCAAACTCATAGATTAGGCCTACTTTACTATTTCCCTTGAATTTATTATTGGATCCCTTGTAACGAGAATTCTGCTATAGCGGACCTTTTGCACCGGTCCCCTCCCTCTCGTTATAACAGGATTCCAGTGTACATGATGCAGCACATTGTTTCCATCATTGTTCATTGACGGATATAAAGTTTTTATATATTATAGTAGAGGGTTCTACGGTGTTCGCAACTGCATGAGGTCATATGAGCGCCAAGGGGTGGATGTCAACAGAGAAGTCTTCACAGGGAATCAGACTTAGACTGCTCACCTCTCTAGCACAAGGTCTGCTTAGACCATCAAGGCATCTCAAAATAGAAGGTCACAAGAGAGTGACAAACATGCAAAAGAAGTAGAGGGAAATGACAATAGTAAGGATCAGGAAAGTAAAAGCAGCAGTTCCCTGTTGTAGATCAGGCACAGTTATGAGCGTGACATGAGTCAGCCCATTTACAATTCTACTATGCTTGAACGAGAAATGTCCCCCCTTTGGGAATGGCCTAAAGACACTCAGTCAGCACCTGCTACTCTATATGGCCTATCTCAATGTGATATATAACAATTCAAACTGTGTTCTCAACATGAAAGATAGTTGATAAATAAAACAGATCTGAACAAAATAGATGAATGCTATACATGTATAAGAAAGGATATGGTACACACTCGTCCCCTTCTGCCATCATCAACTCATCTTCTGCATCCGTGAGGTTTTGAAGCTCTTTCTGAAATTGATAAGAGTGAGGAGTAAGGTGAAATACAAAGATAATCATAGCATTACGAACAAGTATTTCTTAAGCTTAACTTTTGAAAATGTATTCTATTCACACGACAAAACCAATGATATGTGACACAAACAAAAAAAGATACAAAAACTAAGAAATTTCAAGCTTACAAGAATGGACATAAAACATATATCACATACTACATGAAGGACATAACATCATTAAAAATTCTCATTTTTTGTGAAATTAGGCTAAAACACTTCTCTGCCTTGATAAAATGTACACCACTCCTACAATAGTGGGAACAGCACTGGCATAGCATCAAAGTGCCTTTTTTCAAATCACAACCAAATTAGAACACTACAAAAGATCTTTTAGTTTAGTTTTAGTAGAGGTTTTACGGTGCTCGCAACTGCATTTAAGGTCATATATGAGCGCCAGAAGATTAGAGGTGTTACAAGAGAGTAACAAAAAAAAAAAAAAGAAGGGGAGATAAGGACGATAGATGTTTCATAGGAAAGAAGAAGCAAACCACACCAGAGCACCCGCCAACCACCCACGCAAAAAGATCTTTATACAGTGAAATCCCATTATACCGCCTGTCTTGGGTTGAGCCTGAAGTTGGCCGTATAGCCGGGCTGGCGGTATAATGGGACAGCACTGACTGCCATCTTGACTAGTGAAAGAGACTAGAGACAAATTATTGTGGCAAGTATAACGAGGTTTGATTGTACAGGGCAAGAGACAAGAAACACAGGTCTGATATTTGTACGGGATACAATGTGAGAGATAAAGAAACGACATTAAAGACATTTATTCAGCCCCATCGACAGACTGATTAATCGCAAAAGTGTAAAGTGCGTAACAAAAAAAAACAACTTAAAAAAATTCTTCTCAGCATCCCCCCACGATGCTGACTGTGAGCCTGCCTATACAATGACAAAATGACTCAAACAGACTACATTGTGGGCAAATGGGAAAAAATAAACAAAAATGTTATAGGGTCAGGAGTGCTAATTTCGTCATGTTCACTCGTACACTTTGGGCTTTGGGTTTGAATGAAGGATTTGCAAGGCTAAACACACAGTGTTTCAGAACAGAGTTTATGAACAAAATGTGGACAGTCGTTCCAATTTCGTTGTGGAAGTTCCCATTCCTTCATTTTTCTTGTTGCAATTTTGTCGCATGTGTGTGACTGAATAGAAATCCAAACTGGAGCTACTTTTGATGTTCTTGGAAGGGAAGTTTATGACACACAATACCAAGAGATGTTTAAATTTGTTACCTCTTTTGCTGCTAGTTCTTCCTTTGAATCTGTAAGACGAGCATTGGTTCGAGCAAAGACATTAATCTTTTGCTGGTCTTCAAATGTGACCTGGGCATCACTCTGAAATCAAGCCAATCATATTTAAAGCCATAAAAATAGGAACTCGATTAAAAAAAAAAGGTTACTAACTAACTGTACTAACAGCATTACAGGTTATATTACACGATAGCTAAACATATATGTATAGTACCGGTAGAGACGGACCAGTGGCGGGGAGCTTTTTAAATTTCAGGAGGAAGACAGAGTGGGCAGTTCTTTTTTTATAATCCTTCAGGTCACTTGGAAGTTCAAATCTGAAGCACTAAATGTGACTTGTCTGTGGGTGGCCACAACACTGAACTTAACTTTCGGCATTTTAATAAAAATTTCAATTTTTTTATGTAGATGGAGGTGGTTGGACAGTCTGTAGCTGAGACTGCAAATGATAAAATTCATATTACTTAACTCATAATTTGAAAACTGTATCCTATCATATAGTGTAATAATATAGTTTTAAATGAATGTGTAACCCCTTTAACTACTTGTCTTTTAAGGCGGATATAATATATTCACTCACTGACTACAGGGCCTTTTCACCGGTCACTAGTGCTGAATACTGGCATTTTTGGGAGTATTTTAAAACACAACCACAACTCTCAGTCTCAGTATTACTATTACCCTATTGGGATTTCTTTTTTTTTACACAGCAATGAGTAAAGTTACATCCAAGCTTAATCTAATATAAAAAAACGTAAGTTATCCAAGTCTAATAATTTAATTTTTACGATGAAAAAAAAATTGGCATGGATTTGATTTTCTGAAAAACTTTCAGAGAAGTGACAGACATATAAAGAGTTTCACAACGACAACAAAATAAAAGTTCAAGGTATTCTATTTTGATTTGTATGCATGTGTGAGTGTCTGGTGAAAACACAGTGGAAACCATATATAATAACAGGCCCGATAATAACAGGGATTTTTCAAATCCCGGACTTTTCCTACTCTTTGTCTCTATTAAAAGTTATCAGCAATAACAGGGCCTCATCTGAGCCCAATCAGATATAGCCAGGGACAAAGGCTTGTTAACAAAGAGTAAAAAGTAAAAGAGAAAAAGGGAGACAGAGAGAGAGAGAGAGAGAGAGAGAGAGAGAGAGAGAGAGAGAGAGAGAGAAAGAGAGAGAGAGAGAGAGAGAGTAACGCAGTGATGGAGCAAGCCCACGCACGTGTTATTGTCATGCGCAAGCCTGCCACAAGGCCAAAACCACTGTTCATGGGTACTTGTGGCAAGGGAAACTACGTATGGACAAATAATAATAATAATAATAAATGACATTTATATAGGCGCTCAACCCCGAATAATGTACCCAGGCTCTGAGCGCTTTACAATACAGTACAACATACAACAGTAACATAAAACGTTGTGTTCTGACTAAAGAAAATTATTCTAAATATTCATCTTATTAATTTAAAAACAGAAACAACTTCAGCTGACATAAAGAATGAACCAAAAGATTTGATCTCTCTCAAAGTACTTGGTAAAGCATTCCAGATCTTGGGGCCTTGGTACTCAAATTCAAAAGCCCTTTCACCCATTGTTTTAAGTTTCATAGATGGTAAAACAAATTTCTTTTTGTCAGCTGATGACCTTAAACAGCAAGTTGGAATGTACAGTTTTAACAGATTTGATAAATATGATGGTGCATTATCATTCAAACATTTGTGATATAGGGTGACCAACTAGTACACAATCCTTTTCTCAACAGGAAGCCAATGCAAAGTTCGCAAAAGAGGTTTAGCAGAGTCTCGCTTTTTTTCCCGTAAAAACTAAATACAGCTCGATTAGTCCACAAATGCTTACTTCCCTTGCATTTCTGATTTAACAGGGATCTGATATAACAGGACTATACTTCATTTGAAATGCCCTCAAGACTGCTCGACTTTGGCAGTAGGCCACCTCTATTCTCACCCGGAGTGAGAATAGTGCAGGCGAGTCTTGTGGCTATTCTCACCCGGTGCGCGTTCACCAAATTTTGCGTTCACCCTAAACCACAGAATTCTACACTGTGATGACAGAAAAATTGTAGAATTCTGTGCCGTGAACAAACGTTCCATTACAATTGTAGCCTACTAAAAGCGTACAGTTTTGTCTGTGGGCAGTGGAGAGAGAGAGAGAGAGAGAGAGAGAGAGAGAGAGAGAGAGAGGAGTAGCGCGAGAATTTCCGGGCAAAACAAAATGGCGACCCGTGTAGTTCGGCTTGATTCGAAAAGTTAAATAGCCGTAGCATCTTTGTAGACAACCAAATTTATTTACTTTTGTGTTTTAACATCATTTTTTAACTTTGTTTTGGTCAATTTGATCGTCCACACCGATAGACAGTATTCAGAAAGAGACAGAGAGAGAAAGAAGAGGGGAGGAGTTGATCTTGCGAGAACTTCCGGGCGGGTGAGAATAGCCACTTTCTTGGCAGTAACCTAGATGTAGTTCGCATTTAGTCACCCCTAAAGCAAAAACTAAATCACCAAAATTTAACCCCAAAAAATCCTTCCACGCCATCCCCCCATTCACACCTTACACACACGTGCGCACGCGGGGGCCACTCCATTTGCAAATTATAACCCAAAAATCTTGAGAACGGAAACCATTTGGGAAAAATAGCGTTTAAGTTTATTTTTCCGAGCGTCTCGAGAAATAGAGCCGGCCTTTATATCATATTCAAAGTAAAATTAAAAAGGGAAATTCAATTGACAACCATAAAATTCAACAAGGCAAGGTGGACTGGATTGAGTTGTGCCTGTGGCGATAGTTGGTTGACTCAGTCAGTCTAGTAAATATCTAGATTCTAGATCTAGGCCTAGAATCTAGATCTAGATCTAGATTAAATATAAAATATCTAGGAGGAGTAACGTTTCTGCCATGATCGAAAAGGTTCGATCGACTTCTATTGCACAGATCAAAGCAACATGGACACTGAACAATGCAGTTTCATGTTCTGACTGATCTGTCTGGAGATCGGCTCATCAAGCTTCTTTCTCTTATTTTCACCCCTTTGTCGATGGGAGTACAAAATAAAATAACGCCCCTGTCCCTATCTGAATTTGATAAGATCTAGATCTAATTACAGGGAAAATAAGGCGTAGATTCTAACAACATTTGTTCAGAAACGTGGTCAAGTAAATAAGTATCTGTAACTAACGTCTTTCATGGTGGTCGCCATCTTGGAGAATATTCCCCTGTGCCAGATTTATTCTAGGATTAAATCTAAACACTTGAGCAAATGAAAACTTACTAGGACTATCACAATTTTTTAACATTCTGGTTTAAAAGTCCCTCAAGATATGAATAAATATAACGATTACATTCCCAATAGTTTACTTGCTCCAAGGTATAGAAGCAATAAAAAGATTTGCAAATTTCTATTACATTAAACAAATGTATGTTTATTTGGCAGCTCATTGAAGTAAACAATGCGACTTGCGTAAAGTGCGAAGGATGGAGTGAATTGGGGACTGCTGGCCATGCTGAAAAACTATGTTGTAGGCTAGAGCACGAAGTCTGGCGCAGTCAAAGTAACTTATGAATTACATCTAGAGAAACTCCAATTTATTTTTTCTCTTGACATTCGTCTGAAGAAGTCTGCATCTCTTACCTTTATTTAAGTTCTTTGAGAGAACCGAGAGACACCCTCGTCAGTCACCATGTTATCTAATATTTCAAGGTTGGGAAGGAAAACTTTGTCTGAAGCCACAAAAATGGTCTCGACATCTAAGGCCCATTGTAAAGGGGTTCATACAAGAGGCCCCGTCTCTGCAGCATCTTCTGCTCCAGCACCAGCAGTAGAAGGTATGTTAATATTACTTTTAAAAAACCCAAGAAAACAGGTGTGAGTACTTGCATCTCTGTGTTTAGTCTTTAGATTAGAGATTCTAGACCGAATTTTATGTAAGAAATTATGATGAAATACATGATAATTGTGGTCCAGGAAGGGTTGTACACCTCTCGCTATTAATTTCACTACTCCCTGTAATGCTATTATCTAGTGATGGTATGATAATTGGAAAGCTGTTTAAGTGAGAAGATTTTGCTTGACCTTATAAAATAAGGCTGTCGTTATTCTCACGGCGTGAAAATAAAAATATAAAAAATATAATATAATTTTTATTCTCAGGTGAGAATAATATCCATTTTATTCTCACCCGGGGTGAAAATAATATTATATTGTTATTCTCACCCCGAATAAAATGAATACTATTCTCTCACGACCCGGTCTGAGAATTCAATGGATTTTTTAGGTCTACCTGAACCTGGGTGTTGAGAACGGATGATAGAAAATAATTTGTGAATTGTAAGAGAGTGACCTGCCCCAGAGCGCTGGCCGATTATTCTAGGCTCCCGCGGGGATTGTTATTGTTTCATTTTTAAAAATCTTGAGTTGAGAGTCGAATATCTTCACCAACACCCTAGACAAGTGTAAATATATTCTAAATTCAGAAAGGAATTCACTTGCCTAATTAGGCCTAGTATGTTTTTAAAATAAATAATAGCCTTAACTGAAAGCTGTTTGAAATAATGTTAGTAATAACTTGTCATTGTAACACAAAAAATATGTTTAATTGTTATCCCTAGCAGAACCCACGATTATTTTTAAGGAACGCAGTGCCTTGACCCTAGGCATATTTTTTTTCTTAAGTTTGATTGGTTAAACTATTCAAGAGTAAAATTTTCCATTACGGAATCAATAAATTAATACTGTAGCAACAAAAGGTGACGTTATTTGCTCAAAAGATAAGGTTTTCCCCCAAATCGACGGTAGTCGCCTCCCACACTCGAGAGCTGGCCTGCCCGTTGGCGATTTTAGTCGCCGCGCGCTCAGCGGAGTGAGAGAGGGAGACGAGTTTTGTCGCCTGGAGCGCTCAGTGACAGGAGTCATATGATGCCTGAAACGAAAAAACCGGGGGAGAATAGTAGGCTGTCGTTGTTCTCTAGTATCTATTTTATTCTCACCCCGGGTGAGAATAATCACTGTGTATAAATATAACTCATTGTGTGTACTTTTATTAGATAAAGGGGGGGAATAAAAGGACTTATGAATGATACTCTCTTTTTATCCGTAACGAGCGACCACCCCAACAAACATTATAAAAGGAGAGACTTAAACCTAGCCTCAACCCTAACTCTACCCAGTCCTCTGTTTCTCGTAATGGAGTTCTTGCCCTAAATGCAATACAGTTGAAACACGACATAAAAATAGCAACTTATTGTCAAGGAGAAAAATGGCCATCTTAGTCTAGAGGTGCCAAACATATATATAGGCAAGATTGATCAAAATAAAGAAAACAAACAGGCATTCCCTTCTAAGGTCCTCTTGGAGATGGTCGCTGGCTCATGACTCAGACTACTTGCTGTAAAAAGTTATAAGGCCCATTAAAATTGTTTTTCTTTCTCTTGGAAGGAGGTTGGAAAGGGAGGTTTCATGGCTGCTGTGAGTATGTAAAAGTTATACGAATGAATGAGGAATACAAGTGTGCAGTGCAAATTAGGTAGATATCTAAAAAAAAAAAAGAAATGACATCTCTGTTAGATGAGGAAGACTAAGTGCCCTGGTAAATTAAGACATACTGGCAAACAAGCTACACTTATGTTGCAAGTTCATGGTATATGTTGATGTCCGTTGCTATTGTTACGAACTGGGTAAACGGAGCAAGTACTCATTTCATTTTTATGGTTTGTGTATATGGTCAGAGTTGTGGGTGGGGCTTATAGGTTATGATGGATCTTATAATTATGCCTCCCTCACCAGCTTCTGTAAATTTGTTACGGACTGGTCAAATTGGGTTTACCGGTGGGAGGGGCCTACGCAACATGATCCGTTGATTCATTGTGGGGACTAACAATTAACAACAGATGAATGGATTATGATGGTTCACCCACAGCATCAGGGGCCTATATAATTAATGACAAAGAGTCAGCGATAAAAGATTTGCGTAGACATCTTAGGTTTTTGGGTAATTGGATACATTTATTATACACTGGCCCCGGCCGTGTTGGACAGGTTCTCATTTTACCCTGTGCTATTTATAGAAAAAATACAAAGGGGTAAATGGAAAGCGGCTGTTTGTACAGATGGCCATCATAGCAGGTTCGCCTGTACTTAATTTACAATTTTACTCTTGCACACTTCCCTCACCAGCAGCTGAAAATTTGTTACCTATTGGTCAACAGTAGGAGGGGGGGAACAACGCAACATGATCGGTTTGAGGGACTGCCTTAGCCTAACAACAATGACATGTGATTGGATTATGACGGCTCGCCCACAACGCCAGGGGCCAGTGCATAATTTATGACAAAACGTAATGGAGTCATTAAGGTGGCCATCTAAGACAGGTTTTATTTAATTGTTAGGTGTGATAGGGGTTGTGTGTTAAAATATGATGGCCGCTTTGGACAGGTGGCCGTTTTACACAGTGAAATTATAAAGAAAAATGCAAAGGGGGGAATTGAAAGTGACCGTTTGTGCAGGTGGCTGTCTTATAGAGGTGGCCGTCATGGCAGGTTTGACTGTACAGTATATTGTTATACTGCACTTGAAATGTTTTTAGTGTTACGTCATGGTTATGATTTAAAAAATTTGATTCCACAGGAAAAGAGAAAAACACACCTGCCACAGACATGAGACCTTTGTACCTGGATGCTCAAGCTACAACACCAATGGTAAGTTTAGTTGTTATCAACTGGAAGACGTTCAAAGTTAACAAAGACTTCAAACTTTATTTTACTTGAAAATTAAATAATGTGACATTTGGTTGAAGATCATATATTTTGAATGCTATTGCTTCTGACAGCATGAAATTTTGTTTCATCGAGGATGGATTTTTTGCAAAAAATATGATTCTGCCTTTTTATTGCAGGAAAGACTAGCCAGTAAATAATGAATTATGGAGTTGATAGGGCAGTCAATTTCATTAACTTTTTCTAGGTACAAAACTGATTATTGTCATTTTCTGCAAGTTTTTTAAATGAAAAAGAGCACAAAGTGATTCTGGTTTTATTATAACGGTACAGAATATTTCTTTTGAAAACAAGATTATACATCTTCAGTGACTCTTTTGAGACTGAATGGTCCTCGGTAGTGGTACAGCTCCTATATGTTATGAGAAGGCATTTTTAATACGGTTTTGTTTGGCAGCAGTGTATTTCTGTACAGAAGTTGATACTGACGTCTGCGATGTTGAGATATTAGGCTCTTAACCTTGGTATGCAAAAAACTTGAGTTTGATTTCCAAATTGGGAAGGTCTTTATTGAGGATCTCTGTCTCTTTGCTTAGATGATGTATCTCTCTCAGTCCGGGTTGGTCATAATAGGCAGAGTGACTCCTTAATGGTGTAAATTGTGTCGATAGAGGCATTAAACACTTACAATTACTCCTACAAAAAAATATTAAGAAAATTCTGTGAACTCTAGTTTGGAACTTCTTGTTGTCTTCTCAGGATCCCCGAGTTTTGGATGCGATGATGCCTTACATGATGAGCTTGTATGGAAACCCTCACTCAAGGACTCATGCATATGGCTGGGAGAGTGAATCGGCTGTTGAGAAAGCGAGAAAGGTATAGTTTTTTTTTAATCTTTGTTTTCTGTTTCCGAATCCATTTGCTAGCACTGCGACTCTTTCTCCTGAAGAGAGCTATTATATTTGTGTTTTGCGGTCTCCTATTTCTTTGTTTCTTTCTCCAGTCTTTATTCATATCCTGCTAAATTGATATACACTACAGACTTTCTGTATTTATCAACTTATCTTGCTTTCTCAGATTTATCCTTGTTTTAACCTCTGTGCCTTCCTCTTTTCTTTTATAATCTTAACAGTTCGTTTGTTCATTGTTTATTTATCTATTTTTTAAAAGGTTTTTGTTTCATCTTCTTTCTTTGCATGCCAGCGTGTCAATGAAACTGGAGACGAAGGTATTTTTGCATTAGTTTAATGGTTTCAGGGTTTTAATTTTTCTTATTTTGATCCTCAGCAAGTGGCTGATATTATTGGTGCAGATTCAAGGGAGATTATATTCACCAGTGGAGCAACTGAGTCCAACAATATCTCTGTGAAAGGTGTGGCAAGGTTTTACAAGAGCAAAAAGAACCATATCATCACCACTCAAACGGTATGTTCAAGATGTTTCGATGCATTATCATGTCATTTTTCTTTGCTATTAGGCATATGATTATTTCTCTAGTTTTTCCTTTGTCTCTTTTTGGCAGGATTCTTTTTAACCCGCCTCCTTGGGAAATTGATTTTTAAACAAATACTGAGGATACCGTTGCGTGTTCATGTTCTGTGACTTCAACTTTATTTTCCGTACAATGTATTTTGTTGGCTGATATGACTCTTTATGAGCAATGACTTTTTTCTTTCTATATGATGTTTTGTTTGTACTTCTGTATGTCCAGTTTTGAATTAACATGTATTAGCGAATTCTTAAGGACCTCAGTCATGTCATTGATGAAGGTGTAATTTACTGCTTTGAAAGTATTTAAGTTGGATAATCTTTCAAGTCATAAGTTTATTCCACGCTTTTTGGCAGCAAGTTTAGTTTGAAATAGTGATTGTTAGCATTTTCAGTTTTTAAAAAAATATGTTTTTAGCTACAATTATAAGCATACCCACCAATCCTCCGAAATGTTCAGACAAGAATTCAGATTTTATATATTGAGAGTGCAGTTGCAGTACAGGCAGGCAGATATTTATGACGAATAAGGGGAAACAAGACAACGCAAAAGTACACCATCTTATCAGCAGACATGCCGCCAACTTATAAGAATTAATAACTGGTAGAGTTATAGCGACTAGCACTTGGTTTGTGGCAATGCTTTTTCGCTTTTCTATCATCTTTGTAAATTTCACCTCCGTTTTTCACGACAGAGAGAAAAGAAATGCGTCATGTGAATTATATACTTTAGTCTTTTCTGTTTACAAATTTTTTTATTTGCATGCCATCGTCTTTCAGTTCACATAATGTCACTGTCAGTTCACCTAATGTCACTGTCAGTTCACATAATGTCACTGTCAGTTCACATAATGTCACTGTCAGTTCACATAATGTCACTGTCAGTTCACATAATGTCACTGTCAGTTCACATAATGTCACTGTCAGTTCACATAATGTCACTGTCAGTTCACCTAATGTCACTGTCAGTTCACCTAATGTCACTGTCAGTTCACATAATGTCACTGTCAGTTCACATAATGTCACTGTCAAGAGAAAAAATGAGTGACATCAAATTGTTTTTCTCACCCTGGAAGGTAGATTTAAACAGTTCATCAACTTTCTCTTATAACAAGAACAATAGCTAGTATGTTGGAATCAAGTTTTAAAAGCATTTGAGAAATTATGTTTTTTCTTCCAATACTATTTTACAGGAGCATAAATGTGTACTGGACTCATGTCGTGCTTTGGAAGCTGAAGGGTTTGAGGTTACCTACCTTCCTGTCCAGGAGAATGGTATCATTGACTTAAAGGTGAAGCTTTGAGATACTGTAGGCCTGCTTGTTGCAAGTGCTAAATCTTTAAATGCAAGGACAATTACTGGTTGCCTGTGACAGACCATATTGTGTATAGCATTTTTTTTATTTTTCTGTCAATGAATGTGGCACCAAAATTATGAAAACTTATACTTTAACAAAAGCTTTTAGTACTTTTAGATAATTATCAGACAAGGCAGTCTCATAAATCCATCCGCTAAATACTAATACCATAGGCAATGATACTTTGATTTCCACAGCACATCGGTTTAGAATGAACTTCAAAGGCATCTAAGAAAGGCAACCTCGTTTAGAAGCTTGAAAAGGTTGTAAGAACCTCATTATTTTGTTAAGTTATTTATACATATGTATGCAAAGGTGTGTACATGTGTACAGAGAGTGTATGTGTGTGTGTGTCCATGATGGAGAGAGAGAGACCAAGTTTATATATATTCTTTATTCATGAATATGTGTTTTGTTCGGGAAATTTTGCTGCAAAGCGCATTGAGCATTTGAAGTTAAAATGTGCTACATAAATGCTATCCATTAGTATTATTATTGTTAGAATTGTTATAGATTTCATTATTTTTATTACATCTGATGCACTGTCTTGTTGCTTTCTTCGTAATGATCTTATGAAACTCTTCACCAAAAAAAACCCTCTTTTATTAATTACCATTATAATTCTTTTAATGAAAGGGAAAGGGGGAAATTTGTGCAAAGTGTAAAGGGTTTCTTTTTAGCACACCATGCATTGAAAATGTGTTCATCTATTCCATCGAACAAGTTCATTGATCATGTTACTAACGCAGAAGTCTTCTAAAGTGGAGATTTTATTAGTTTCAGGATTGCTTTAAAAGAGGAGACAGGGATTAATACTTGGCTTTTCTGTCCTCTTCAGGAGCTGGAAGCCAGTATGCGACCAGAGACTGTGCTTGTTTCGGTAATGACAGTCAGCAATGAGATTGGTGTCATACAGCCAATAAGTGAAATAGGTAAATCTGAGATTTTCTTCTCAATACCATCTCACTTTAAGAAAGTTTGTTTCATTGTGTTTACTCTATGTTATCCCTTAGTCATCAACTATGAGGACACTACTGACGACTTGGCAACCAGCTTCCTTCTCTTTCCCTCTCTTTTCTCAGAGCATTATTTTGTCATATGTGAGCTGGTCAGAGAAAATCATGAACTTGCCGCCTCTGGGCCATTTTGAGTTTTCTTGTTTTTTCCCCCTGAAAGCTGGAATCTTCCTGATTGTGCCCTTTCAATTTTTTTTTCAGTTATATTTTCTAGAAGCTGTGATATTGCATTTTGAAGTCGCAACATTTTAAACAGTAAGAAATGAGAAAAAAAGCAGCATTATAAAGGACATTTTCTGCAGTTTTTGTGACAGACATAGGTCAACAAAGAATTGATTAAAAATATTTTAAAGGAATTAAATGAATAACTCATTTGCCTGCACACATTATCTCTCTTTCTCCCATTGCTTAGGAATGTTTAAATGTTTATTTTTTTCTTTAACCGAGGAAATGACATCAATTTAAACTTTCCATTTATTTCGTTACAGTATTTACATTGATTCTTTGTTTGGTTCAGATCTTGAATAGCCTTAATTTAGTTAAGATGGACATTAAAATAAAACAACTCTGTACTACCTGATGTTTAAGTGGGTTTGTACTATTTACATTGATTCTTTGTTTGGTTCAGATCTTGAATAGCCTTAATTTGGTAAGATGGACATTAAAATAAAACAACTCTATACTACCCGATTTTTAAGTGCGTTTGTTGCTCTGCGTTCTTAACTATGAGAAAAAGAGACACAGAGAGAGTTTGTATGTATGTCTCCTTGTGTTGTTCATGTTGTTAGTGTAGTGCTTGGTCATTGTCCTCAGTGATCAGAAAGAAATCTTTCTTGAAATATTATAAGTTTTTCACCCCCTCATGTCTTATCTTGCTTTCTTGATCAGGGGCTCTTTGTCGGTCAAGAAAAATTTTCTTCCACACGGATGCGGCACAGGCTGTTGGAAAAATCCCCTTGGACGTGAACGCCATGAATATTGACCTCATGTCTATCAGTGGCCACAAAGTTTATGGTCCAAAAGGTACACATATAATAATAATAAAAATGTAGATAATTTCTACAGCGCCCACTCTTGTGTGCACACTGCTCTAGGCGCTTTACATAAATGCATGAGCGAACAATATTCACACACACACACACACACACACACACACACACACACACACACACACACACACACAAATACATACGCACACATGTACGCCAAACACATACGCGCGCACACATACACACACACACCTCTACTTGCTTATCACACGCGCATGCTTACACATTGTTACAAAATGAGCACATACAAATATATAATAAAGTAATATACACAATGCAATTCACAAAATACATAAATGGATACACAGTCATTTACATAACATTGTACTGAACATGGATCTACTGATATAAAAATGATGTCTTTAAATGTATCTTTAAAGATATTTTAAATTTAGACTCAGATGTTGTATGTCTCAAGGGTCGGGGAAGAGAGCTCCAAACTGATAGATAAAGGTGGGCAAATGATCTTTCAGCTAATTTTTTACCTCCTTTTCTAGGAACTCTTAAAAGATACTGACTGCCTGATCTTAGTGATCTAGATGGAACATAAATCTAGATGAGATCACTAAGATATGAGGGAGCTTTGTTATTGACACATTTATGACATAATATTGCAATTTTATGACATTCTAGCTGACATGGGAAGCCCATTTCCCCCCTCTTTATTCACAGATTAAGAGCACCGCTATTTGACTGTCTGAAGTTATTGCTTTATTTATTGTTGATTATTTCGTGTTCATGTGAAGTTGAGTATTAGCTTTTTTTTTGTGAAACAAGAAAAGGTTACTTGTAAAATGAATGTTATAATTGTAAGGAAACTGATCTCTGCCCTTATCTTTTATACTGAAAGGCCGCTCGTGTATGACGTCTTGTAGGTGAGACATTTTGCCATTGGATGTCTTTGAATGCATCGCCTTCTAGAAGTGACATGTCTCCTGTGAAAGTATTGCCTAATAAATACGCTGTAATTCGTCTGTCCCTGTTACCTATTGCCTCGTAGGTGTGGCAGTTCTTTCTCTTTGTAGGTGACCGTGCACTTTCATACTATTGTGCCTTTGGGTACATTATCTCAAATATGTGGGTAGTTGGTGCGTGCTCTGGTGTGGTTTGCTCCTTCTCTCCTATCAAACATCTGTTGTCCTTATCTCCCCTCCTTGTTTTTAATGTTTGTTACTCTCTTGTAACACCTCTAATCTTCTGGAGCTCATATGACCTTATGCAGTTGCGAGCGTGGTAAAACCTCTACTAAAACAAACGAACATATTTCATATGTATGACATGTACATTGTATCCCTCTCAGCCAGGGTTGACCCTGACAGGCAGAGATGAAGCAGCCCATCTCCTACATGATCTTAATTGTGATAATGAGGGTTGAAAACATTTCCAATGACAATTGTATTACTTATTCTTCTATGTCTGTGAATGTTTGCCTCCAAGGTGTGGGAGCCCTGTACGTCAGACGTCGACCTCGTGTGAGAGTGGAGGCTCTTCAGAGTGGTGGTGGGCAGGAAAGAGGCATGCGCAGTGGGACGGTGCCCACGCCTCTCGTGGTGGGAATGGGAGCTGCCTGCGCTCTGTCGCAAGAGGAGATGGAGGTTAGTCTGTGTAACATCATTTTGAAATAATCCTGTGTCTAGCAGGCCATTGTTCTTTTTGTATGCTGAATGCCTCTGCTTCTGCTCATAACTGTAATTAGTGAACACTGCTGGAAAATGCTCCCTTTGAGGAGGACACCAGAAGCCTCAAACACATGCACACACACAAACTCACACTTTATTTTACAACACACACACACACACACACACACACACACACACACACACACACACACACACTCACTTCCATTTATAAAACATACACACATATATATATAGGCATGTTTATATGTTTTAACAGACAAAGCGACACTACACACTTAGCACGGGAACGAAACCTGCTCCTCCCCTCAACTTCCTAAGGATACCAGAGGAAGAAAAAAGGAAAAACTAAAAGTAACAGATGCAGCAAATTTTTTTTTCCTGATAAATATTGATGTTTGCTTTAAATTTGCCATCTTTTTCTGTCATAAATAATAATGTAAGTGGATGCTTTCTAACCTTTCTGAAGACTCCGCATTTTCACGGCATTGTATCTCTACACTCCTCCAGTATGACTCGAAGAGGGTGGAAACTTTGTCCAAGCGACTGATTGATCAGATAATGGCAGAATGTCCACAAGTGATCAGGAATGGTGATTCGAAACAGACATACCCCGGTAAAGGAACTGATATTGTCATATTATAAACTGACATATGTGAGGCGTGCTGACAAAGTGAGTTACTTCTCACAATCCACAAATGGAGATATTGACCAAAAATCGACACTTGGGTCAAATTTCTAGGTTTGTTATTGATGCAATATTCATAAAGTAGTAAATGCCTTTTGCTATTTCATATTTACATTTTTATAAAAACTGCACCTCTAAGCATGATGTATCTATTTCCATAGAGCCCTAATCCGAGAAGTAACTCATTTAGTCAGCACACTCCACATATGATCTTTATTGGGATTCATTCATGTTTTGAAGTTATGTTTTCTATTCATACTCAAATTATAAATAAATTGCCGCTCAGAGGTATGAATGTAAGAATTTCTAATTTTTCTTGTACTGAGAACTTACTGCCCTGCTGTTCATGTGAGAATTGTTGGTTTCAAATTTCATATATCTCTTTAGAATCTGGTTACATTTTTATTTTTAATTTTCAGTATTCATATATATGAAAACATTTTTGATCCTTTAAGAGGTATTACTGTTCTACTGAAATGAGTATTTGCTTTTGATTAAAAGTAAGAGATGAAGAGTTCTTGGATGTCGTTATGAACTGGGATGCTACTAGGTAAGTACATTGCTTGTCTGACAGACAGTTCGCTTTTTAAACTCTAGAATTTGAAAGGACTTCCGGCAGTGACATTTGCTACTAAGTGGTAATCTTCAGGGCAAATAAAGAATTCTTGGACAGTAGCATTTTTTAAAGATATAAATCATCCCATTTTTTTTCACTCATGGATGATTTACTTTGTCTTGTGCGTTGCAGGGTGCGTTAATCTGTCTTTTGCCTATGTGGAAGGAGAAAGCTTGCTCATGGCTTTAAAGGATGTGGCGTTATCATCAGGGAGGTATGATGTTGTTGACTTCTCTGTGTGGTCGGTCATCTGACTGGACTTTATACGAAGCCTTCTCTTTGTATCTCTAAATGTGACAGTTATAATGCTGACTTGCCTTTTACTGTAATAATCATCATCATCGTCATCAAATATCAGATCTACAACAGACATTGGCGATCATTGTTCGCCATTCTTTACCTCGCTCAGATTCTCTCCCCCCCCCAAAAAAAGGGGGGGGGGGGTATTTCTTTTTCTTTAAATACAAAAGGACCTGCTAACAATAATTTTTGAAAGAAAGTCTTGTCAGCCACATATGATTCAAATTCTTTTTTTTCCCGCATGATTGTTTTCTTCTCATGCAAATTCTCTTAGGAAAACTGATACTGCCGTAGCTATTTAAATGTAATTTTCACAGGTTTTTTTTTAGCACTACCATTCCGTCTGTTGTTCTTGGGTGAAATTGGGAATATTAAGACATAGTTCAGTATGACAGTACGCCATTATGTTTCTTTAATTTCATGTTTCTTTTTTTTTTCTCTTTCCAGTGCTTGCACTTCTGCATCATTAGAGCCTTCATATGTTCTCAGAGCTATTGGTGCGGATGAGGATTTGGCTCACTCTTCTATCAGGTAAGGTTTGCTTTTTTGATACCTTTTTACTTTTTCCTTACTTCAGTGTATTGTGTACTGTTGGAGAGTAATGTTTGGCAAGCTCAGTTGATTACTTTTTCCTTACTTCAGTGTATTGTGTACTGTTGGAGAGTAATGTTTGGCAAGCTCAGTTGATAACTTTTTCCTTACTTCAGTGTATTGTGTACTGTTGGAGAGTAATGTTTGGCAAGCTCAGTTGATAACTTTTTCCTTACTTCAGTGTATTGTGTACTGTTGGAGAGTAATGTTTGGCAAGCTCAGTTGATAACTTTTTCCTTACTTCAGTGTATTGTGTACTGTTGGAGAGTAATGTTTGGCAAGCTTAGTTGATAACTTTGTTTGTGGGAAATCGTTCTCATAGCTCCCCACAGCAATCTACAGCAACTTTCATTATTGTCTGTTGTGGCATGCCATGGAACTTCAAAGAAGCTATATGCAGCTAGGTGCTAAAAACTGTGAGATCCGTCTGTTGTGGGTTTTTGGCGAAGGGTATCCGTTGCTTTTGGAATAAGACAAATATAATGAAAATTTAATTTTTATCACGAGGCAGAGATACCCATTATGAATCAAATATTGTCAGCCGAATATGCATTCAGAGCCTGCTTTTTCTGCTCTGTCCAAAGTAAAAGTATCTTTTGGCAAATGTGATGTTTTGTTTTGATTAATTAGAGACATCTTTCAATTGCAGCTATAGAAATTGTTCTCTTTTTTTTTCCTCCTGCAATGCATAATGTAAGCTAACTCATATTGTGGCTGTCACCGTCTATGTTGTTATTAGGGGTGAGAATATCCTGAAGTGGAAACAAAATTTCCCTTTTGTATACTTTAATGCTTTCAGAACTGATACAGCCCTAGAATTCAGACAGTATATTGACTTTAGTATGGATACTTTAAGATACAGATGAGCAAAAAAATAGCTTTGCCTCACCCTTGCAACTTCAACCTCTTCTCCGTCTGAGTTACAAGACTGACCTTACTTGTGCCTGTGTTTTGTACCTATAATCACTTATTTCAAAGGTCAAAAGGTGAATTGTTGATAAAAAGATATCTTTTTCAGTTGTCATTCATGTGTTATAAATATCGAACATTTGTACAGAATGTTATTTCGTATAGATGTAGTGGTGAGCATTATTATGATGTATTTTCTAATGTTTTAGGTTTGGCATTGGAAGGTTTACAACCGAGGAAGAAATTGACTTTACAGCCCAGAAATGTATCACTCATGTGAAGAGACTGCGAGAGATGAGGTGAGGGAAGATTTTGTACATCAATGAAGTTGCTACTTACTGTTATTATGCAAACAAACTATTTGAAATTTGCATTTTAAAAGATACTGCTTCATTTTATTCATGCCAGTACGGAAGAATTAATCATCCCCTTGATTTCACTTCAAAGAAAAAGGAACATGTTTTGTGAAAGCGGGTTTATTTTCCCGTGGGTTTCTCAACCCTTTGAACCTAAGTGTAAGGCTAGTATAGCATCCAGGGCATTAGAGCAGGGATGGGAATTTTGAAAACCTTTACAACAGTAGTATAAACTATCTGGTCCCGTTTTTAGCTTTCAGTTCAATATTTTTGCATTGATTTACTCGTAAATTTGCATTTTAGTTTTCACTTTTGTTTTATTTTTGTTTCAGTCCATTGTGGGAAATGGTTCAAGACGGCATTGACCTCAAGTCAATCAAGTGGACTCAGCACTAGGAAAAAGCAAGCTTCGTTTTTGTACATTAGTAAGCATAAGAGATTGATATTTATGCAGAAACCTTTGCTCTGTTCTTCAAAAAAATTTTTGTGTAGTATATATAGAGATAAGGTGATTCATAATGACACAATGTTTGTCTGCAAGTATGAGGAATAAGAAGAGGATAGAGAGAAAGTGCATTGAATAGTGAAGAAGCTGTGGCTTCCCTGAGCATTCTCCGCCTACTAGCTTGGTGTGATCTGAGATGGGTTGTTATTGCTGCAGTGTAACGCCCATGTAGTCAAAGTCTCAGGGGGGTCATTTTGAAGGTCACCTTCACCAGGTTGAGGAGAACTTGATGAGAAATGATGAGGAAAATAATTCAAACCCTGCTGGGAATTGAACCTCAAACTTCTAGGTAGCAGGTCATGTTCATGACTGAATGGGCTGCAGCAGCAGGATTCAACAGTTTATTTAGTATGGTCAGAGTTGAGTATGGGTGGACAGTTGGAGAGATTTCTTTTACTGGATATTCAATATATTCAACAAAGCAGATATTATCATTACTGTACTCCAAAGACCCTCGACAAGCATCATCAGGCAGGCTTTAACGTGGAACCCACAAGGAAAGCTTAAGAAGGGAAGACCAAAGATGACATGGAGGCGAGCGGTACAAGCGGAAATTGAAAAAGCGGGGACATCATGGAAACAGATAGAAAAGGATGCTCAGGACAGGCTTCACTGGAGTAATGTTGTTGATGGCCTGTGCTCCACTGGGAGTTAAAAAGGGCAAGACTGGGAGTTAAAAAGGGCAAGAGAGAGACTCCAAAGACTGAGAGTGCTGTACATGTAACAATGGGATACAATGATGTATTTGTGTGGCCCTCCTCTGAACGATCTTTTTGATGGCTGCTTGTCAGGCAAGAGATGATCCTATGTTCTATGTTGATAAAACAGCCATGTGCAATCACCTGCTCTATGAGATGAGTATCTTACAGTCGGTTGTTCCCTGAGTTCTAGCAGGGGTAAGAGAACGAGAAGAAGAGAATGGCTGTAATTTCTCAATTGATGGATGTGACTACCTTAATAGTTGGGCCCAAGTCAGTGGATGTACTCCCATAATGCCCATAAGTCTGTCTCAAGATCTACTTCACCTGCCAACTATTTATCCTTGCTTCCGCTGTAACACTTTGCGGGCATTTCTCTTTTTCTATGAAACTCCTTATAGGGGTACAAAATGCTCATGTCTTCAGAAAATGTTTCTGCCTCAACTATTTATCCTTGCTTCCGCTGGTCACTCATTGAATGTTCTCATTATTAATTGACGAATTCTGGCCTCAAAGTCTTTATTTCTTCAAGGATTTTCCTTGATGAAGACACATATGAGTCTAAAAGTATCAAATGATAGGGTGATGACATTTGTCAAGAAATTTTTGTGGAAAATCCTGGCTTTCCGTTTTTAACCTGAGGATTTTTGAGAACCTTGTTTTGTTCATCATGCAAGAAAGAAGAACAGGAGAGCTAAATGTAATATGTGGCCACGACGTGGCGGAATCAGGCTCTCGTCAAAATAATCAAAGTTAAGAAACTGGCATTGTTCCGCAGATTTGAGAAATTATATCGAATTTTTGCTTTTTGGCTCAACACCTTTCATGAGAACTCATTTCTGTGTGGATTTGACTGAAAAACGTGGATTGAAGGCACAAAAAATGAAAATTTTCAGCTACCACAGACTCAAACTAAGGAAATAACTAACATTTGGCAGCCCTTTTCTCACTAATTTTACCTCTGAAACCAGGTGACCCCAACATCCTTCATTTGCAAATATCTCGATTTGTATTCAAGATAAATGGATATTTTTTTCATTCAAATAAAGACAAGTAAACAAGCTTTAAGATGATACCAATAACTCTACATGCCCAAAAATTGACGAGAGCCTGATTCCACCACGTCGTGCCACATATTAATACCTGAAGGAAAATTGGTTAGACTATGACATGATAAGTAGCGAACAGAATATAATGAATCATTTGAAACTGTACCTTTTATTGCTTGCAGTTGCTATGCGGGCCCCTATTAGATCAAACCCAAGTTTCAATTAGTAAATATAATTATATTTTCCTTTCTTCAACAGTTATTGACTTCCTGTCATTTCTTACTTGAATGGCTGGAATCTTTTGATGGGGATATCTCTCCAAAGTAGATGTTTGCATTTTAAGAAGCTGAAAATGAAATACTGAAGTGAAAATTTGTCGTTCTGACTCTATTTGAAATGTCGCAATGATGTGAAAAGCTTTGTGATGTGTTGAGTTTATGTCTTGTAGCCAAGGTACTTTGAAAATCTATCAAGATGTTTGCTCTTGGCATTCTTGTACAGGTCTGACAGTTTTCTATTGTTATGTGAACAGAAATTGATGTAGGCCTCATATTTCGCCCTGTTTTTTAAATTCAAATAAAGACTCATACTCATAATCTTGTAGATTGGTAGCTTATTTTTTAAGTGTATACATCAGATTTTGATTTTGACTGTATAATATTTGTTCGAAATGCTCACTTACTTTAGTAGCAGTGAATCTGTTGCTAATTGTGGCATTGGTAGTCTAGCGTTTTGCGTACTGGACTCGTAATCGTGAGTTTGCGGGTTCAAGGAATCGAGCCTCAGACATAATGTTGTGCCCTTCGGAAAGGCACTTAACACAAATTTTCCTCACTCCACCCAGGTGGGAATGGGTACCCGGTCATAGACAGCGAAAGATCCTGTCAGTATGTTAGTGTTTAATGCCTTTAAAATGGCAGCTTGCACTGTATGCTTCCCAGGAAGTTGAGATTGTTTCAGAATGCTATCAGGTCTGCCGGGGTGATAATATAGATTGTAGAAGCGCATAAAGCTTGCTGTTGAGCGGGAGTTTGCGCTATACAAATACTCTATATATTATTCATTGGGAAAGGTTATAAAAGCACAAATGTAAAATAATCTTTGTATGTTTTCAGAAAATAAAATTTAAAAGGATATGTTTTCAAAATGGATGAAGTTCTTTGAAAGTCTTTTTTTTTTATATTGTCTTAAACAGGCCAACGGTTGACAGGAAAACACTGGCTTTAAGTGTCAGTGTAAAGAGAACAGAATCTCCTCTGTTTAAATTTAGTTCAAATTGTTGTTAATTGGGTCTTTGCTTGTTCATTTTCTCTTTTTTTGACTTCATCTTTCTAACTCTATTACACCCTGAGATATTGCTACTTACTGAAGTGTCTTTAGGCCATTCCCAAAGGGGAGACATTAACATTTCGAGTTCTTTTGCACAGTAGATTGTAAATGGACTGATTCATCAATGTCACACTCATAACAGTGCCTGGACTGCAACAGGGAACTGCTGTTATTTCTTTCCTAGTCCTTTCTATCATCATTTTTCCTCCTCTTCTTTTGTATGTTTGTCACATTTTTGTGACTCGCTATTTCCCAGAGTGCCTTGATAGTCGAAGCAGACTTTGTGCTGTAGAAGCTAAAGAGGTGAGCAGAGTAAGTCTGATTCCCTGTAAGGACTTCTCTATTGACATCCACCCCTTGGCGCTCATATGACCTTATGCAGTTGCAAGCGCCATAAAACCTCAACTAAAACTTTTTAAAAACCCTCAGATATGCCTTTCTTTGTTGGATTATTCTTGAAATACGTGCTGTACTTACGAAATAATATTCTGAAGTTTTTGAGCTGGTTACCCCTCAACACTCATGCTTCAGCCACCAAGTTCTCTTGTTGCACTACAGTATTGATCTGTGTCATTTACGGAAAGTCAGTACAATAATGCCTGCATTTTACCTTGCTGCAACACATAATGATAATGTGAGGAATAATGAAAATAGATTTCTATAAGGTGCAGTCTACATACTACATGAGAGTGCCAATCACTTGTGTTTGAAAAAAACAACAACCCCAAAACAAACCATTTTAAACACTGCCAGTATCACTGTTTCTTATAATCCTCTTTTCAGTCATTCTTTGATATATATAATATTATATATTTTTTCTTGGAAAACTTCACATGTGTTATGTACTGTTTGCATTGCAGAAGGAGACTTTGAAGTTGTAAGGGGTCTTCTCTTCTTTGAATCAGAAATGACTTTTGGACCTGTTTCTCCCATTCTATTGACTGACCTGTATGAAATGACATAAGGGAGGGGGTGAATTTCAAACTGATACATGTTTTTAAAAATGTGTTTTACAATGTCATCAACAAAGTTTAGATCACTTCAGAAGTGGGCTTCGGCCCTGCTTGTCAGGTCCAACTCAGGCTGAGAGGGATACAAAGTTCCTGTAGAAAGACCACAATACCGGTACTCAGTAAAAATTCTTCCCACAGGGAAATTTTAGTTTTAGTAAGTGTTTTACGGCACTTGCAACTCAATAAGGTCATATATAAGTGCTGAAGATTAGAGGTGTTACAAGAGAGTAACAAACACAAAAAAGAAGGAAGGGAGATCAAGACGATAGATGTTTGATAGGAAAGAAGTTAGTTTCAGTAAGTATTTTACGGTACTTGCAACACAATAAGGTCATATAAGTGCCGAAGATTAGAGGTGTTATAAGAAAGTAACAAACACAAAAAAGGAGGGGAGATAAAGATGATAGATCATGTTTGAAAGGAAAGAAGTAAACCACACCAGAGCATCCGCCGACCACCCACTCCACAGGGGAATAAAACTCAGGTTTTCTGCTTGCGGCAGAGAAATGCCTTACAGGGGCACCACAGACAGGGGCACCACAGATACGGGCATTAATACATTTTTTTATCTTGGAACTTTTGGCATCATTCACACCGTATTTATTACCAAGCGAGTCGTGATTGGGAATAACCACCGATTGTCCCCATCAGAGCTTTCTTGAACTTTAATTGTTCTTCGGGTTTTCAAAGCTCTCTCTAACTCCATCCTTTTCGTTTAGATTTAGTCCTACTATAATTGAAGGTGGGTTTTTTTATTGGAATTAGACACGGGCTGAGTAATGTAAGTGCTGCCAAATTTTTGGGTTTTTTTTGTTTTGTTTCAGTACGAGCTTTATGGAGCTCGCAACTACAACCCATGAATAAAAATTATTTCACAGTGGAGCTTATCTACTTTACTCAGTGATGTGGAAAACGTCTGGTCATTTTATAATTATAAAGCCCCAGTACTTTTGGAGTTAACATTAACTGCTTGAATAAGAAAAGCAATGAAGACATATACCTTGGGTACACCTGCCTTTGTGCGAAACATTAGTTTCAATGCAGTTACCCTTCAAGAACCTACACCGACAAATGAGACTTATCAGGGGAAGGAATGAAAAGTAAAAGATTCATTACCAGTTCAGAACAGTCCGAGAGCTGACACTGTTCTCACTATTCTCCATCGACAAAATCATTTTGAATTCTTTCACTCTCACACGTACGAATATGAACAGGCTTGCTGTTTTAACTCCTCAAAGGCAACGTTTCGGCACCCTTAGAACCATCATACACAAATCAGAAACACGAGCTTGTATATTTCATAGTATGCACACTCTTGCATGTCTTTTAAAGTTTCAAATTTAAAGAAAAAAAATCGAAAACTTTTTTTTTGGTAAGAGTTTTACGACACTTGCAACACAATAAGGTCATATAAGTGCCGAAGATTAGAGGTGTTACAAGGGAGTAACAAACACAAAAAAGAAGCAGGAGAGATAAAGACGATAGACGTTTGATAGGAAAGAAGAAGCAAACCACACCAGAGCACCCGCCAACCATCCATTAAAAACTTTTTTGAAAAACCAAGTTATGGCCCAAAACAGTGCGCCTTCATATATTGTTGGATGATCAGAATGCTCGTCTTCAATGAGTTTTAAAAAATTACAGAGCAACCTTTTTACAGTACTACTGCTCTGAAACTTAGAGATGAATAGGCTATTCAGAGACAACATTTAGAACACATCTCTTTTGTTATAAACTTTAGGGCAACAAATATAGTCCTAATCCTGTTAAATATTTCAGACCTAGTCAAAATCACAAAATGGACTAGGAAACAAATCAGACTACGGTTCGACAAGACAAGAAAACACAAACAGAATGACAAGTTTAGAAAAGTCAAAGGCAAAACGCTGACGCTACAAGAGAAGCTATACGGGCCGACAGATGAACTGAGCAGGACGGCCCAATTTATGACAGATACCAGACTTCAACTTCAAGTGTGATGCGATCGAGAAGAAGAAAGGCAAAACGAATAATAAAAGAAGACATATATTATTTTTTATTTGAGGAATTGCTGAAGACATGATTCAAAGTGATCATACAATATTAGAGTTCCAGCACGTTTCATCACAAAAACCTCCAGAGCACACACAATATTCTAATGACAATGACAGATACCTCATCATACATAGCTAATCACATACAGCCTCACGGCATTCACACTGACAAGAGTATGACAAAGAAAAACAAATGTTCAAAGTGACAAAGAAACATTATTATAGCATAACTAAAGTTGACTATGCTATAATAATGACAAATATAATACTATACACATTAAAAATAGCCTTTTTCATGATTCCTATTTAACACTTTATATTGTCAAAGTGCTACAACAATGGGTCAAGTGTGAACTTACCCAAAGTCAAACTGATCCACCATGGCTTTATTTATGATAACCCATTATATGTCATAATATAATGATGTAAATGTGCCAGCGAATTATCAAATCATAAAGAAAAACCTATTATTATGACCAAAATCTGGAAAAGACATGCACTTCAGCGTACACCCCCCCCCCCCCCTCAATTCATCCGAACTATTGAACATGCCTTTGCCATAGCACTTTGACGAAAAATAAAGGCTGTAAAAAGGGGAGTGTGAAATAAATTATGCTAAATGATTATTTATATATATATATATATATATATATATATATATATATATATATATATATATATATTATATGGACTCCACTGCTTTACCCTGGCAGAAGTTTCATCTCTTTACTACGTATGATGATATAACAAATCAAATAATGTTACTGTTTGATGAAAATTTTAAAACAAGAAGATTAATTTTACATCGCAAATATTAAAATCTGGTTAGTTCTGAATTTAAACTCCTCTGATTCAAAAGATCCAAGAGCATTAAAAATCAAACCATTAATCTGCAGAGAAGGCTGGTTTAACAACAACAAAAAAGAACGTTCGCAGCATCCTCAGTATCTGGCCTGATGCAAAGGTGAAAAAAAGTGGACTTTGAATGTAGGGTTGTGAAGAAGTAAGGCGCCGTGACATCTGGTATTTCTTCACAAGACAAAGGAGAAATGAAACCCACACAGTCTCCTTTTGGGTGACTGGGGGGGGGGGGGGGGGGGCGCCACTGGATGTCCCACTACTTCTTTACTCTTGTCCCACTACTTCTTTACTCTTGTCCCACTACTTCTTTACTCTTGTCCCACTACTTCTTTACTCTTCACATTTGTTTCTGTCTTCTTTCTATTTTTCTTCCTCCAGGCACGAATAATACAGAATGTTTTATTATTCTTCGTCCAGGCACGAATAATACAGAATGTTTGTTACCGTGTCTATGAGTACACAAGTAAATAACCAGATTTGCTTCTTTTCAATGCTTCCCGGTAGCTTGCGCAGGTTACAGAGTTGTCAAGCAGTGTGAAAAACCATGGCTAAACATGCCTTAATCCACGAACACTCTGCATCCTTTAATAAATATTGAATCATAATCATACCATAGGCACAGAAAGCTTCACAAACTGCTACAATTTTGGAAGCACCATAAATATTTTTTATTTTAAATTTATTAATCGACAACTGAACCAATCTGAAAGATAAAATTTATATAGAGACAGGACTTGTTAAACTGTTATACCTTCAATACAACTTTCGTCTCCATGATTGTACCAGCACTCTGAAATGAATGTCATTTCCAAGATAGATGCTTTATTAACATAAAATTTAAACTAATATATATTGTAATTTGAAAATAAAAGTACAAGCCATACTGAAAATTCAAGTTCTAATTACAACAGTCTGTCAAACCATTAGAAAAACAGTTTTCATAATCCTGAAAGTTTTAAACGAAAAGACTCCCAAAAAGTAAACAACAATAAAACATAAAATTATAAAAGCCAAGAATTCAGCATAATTTTAGAACAACATTTTATTTTAACAAAGATTCCAATATGCCCTTTTCATATCAAACCAAATAAATTACAGATACAACAAAAGTAGAATTGGACAACACCTTTCTTAGACTTAGTATGGTACTTTCCCCATGTTCTTTTTGAAATTACACCATGAGAGAATATGAACACAACCTGTATGTTGATAAAACCAGACTAAGACTGGTAATGACATTTTGTTCTAGAGAACATGGGCAGGGAGAACATTAGAGGGAAGGGTAGTCCCTGTGCAGTGCGACTTAAAGTATTGTTAAAGAAACATTCTTGGGGGAGGGTGGGGGTGGAAGAAGAGTCAACTATGTTTGAGCTAGATTCACATCTATTTCTTCACTTGTGATTGTGAAACGTAATCTTCAGGTCACTTTGCTCAGCACTCGGTGGAAAGGAAAAAGAAGAGACAGAGAATCAGAGAGACTGATTATAAGAGGACTGCAGAAATGACACAGGTCTGATCTTTATCACATTCACATCAATGGGACTGGAAGACCGGAAAGAAAAAGAAAAGTTGTGGATAACTCACAATAGGTAATCATAAATAGTCCCAATAACTTTGGGGAGAGTGAAGGCTCACTGATAATGCCGGAAAGTCTTGATCGGTGTTGTAAAATATTTTTTTAAAAATCAAATAAAATAAATGTTGTAGGCTTCATTTTTGCATCTTAACTTTCAGCGACAACCGTACATATATTTAAAAGTTAACTTCCCTAACTTGTTGGTATTGCACGACCGAAGCCAGGATGCTCCAAAAATCCTACAGGATGTGGAATGAGTAGTTCATGGGGGGGTGGGGGTCTTGAGAAAAAATCCTAGACAGAGAACTTGCGGGACCATGCAGATCTGATGCTGATTTATCTAAATTAGTTCAGAATGGCAGTTGTAGGTCTTTCCCCCAACCCCCCCACCTCCCCCGCAAACTTTTGTGAGCATACTTTTTTTTGCGGTCAATTGTGCGTCAGGTGTCACTTCAACATGCACTGTTCTAACAATGAACACATTTCTCCCAATGACACAGCGTTTGAAGCGTTTCCCACAATGTTTGACAAAAGTAGAAGATCCATAGGTCTTTTTATGTTACTTCCCTGATACATTTCTACTATATCAACAGCATTTCCAACAGAACTGTACTAATGCCCCAGCCTTTTGAACAGTGTAGCGATACTAGTAAGCCGATCGGACAATAAAAATAATTATGAGAAAATTCGAAGAAAAATGGATGATCAAAGGAAGAATTATTGTACTTTAATTATTTTTATTTTTGAAGAAGAAACGAGAACTTTCATTCTTTTTCTTCTTCAAGTGCCAGATCTGAAACAGACATTGGCAAATTTTGTTTGCCATTTATTTCTCTGCTCAGAAGCACATTATCTCACAATCTGATCTGGACCACCCCCCCCTCCAAAAAATTTTTTTTTTTTAAATTGAGTGCACTTTTGCTATTATCCTTTCATTACATCTAGGCATTATAGACCCACAGGAAAATTTGTCATCACTCTGACAAAAATAAATAAGGACGTCAACAGCAAACCGGCAAAGAATAACATTAAAAAAAAAAAAAAAGAAGTTCTACAAAGTCTACTCAAGGACAAAATGCTCAACATCATGTCTGTTGTAGTCATACTTTTAAAAACGCAGAAAAAGTCACTAAAATTCCATATGTAAAAGACTTGTAATAAAGGTAAACGGACAGAGTCGGTCCACTTTTTTTTCTGTCTGTTGTAAAATCCAAGTTACCAGAGTGGGCCACTGTGAGGCGGACACCATCATAAGCTCTCATACAAGTCAGTGAGCTCCACACATCTAGCAAAAACTTCTACTCATCTTAGACTTCTTTCACATCTACACCACCATACAGAGCAGAAAAGATGACCACATACACCATATACCAACACAACAATTCTGTAAAAGACAAAAACAAACAACACCAGGAAGAGCTATGGGACTGCATCCTCATCTGACTATTTGTTGTCGTTTCATCTTCCTTTCCATCTTCTTCTGCTTCTTTTCATCCACTTGCTCTTCTTGTGGGGGTGAGAAAAACCAGGGCCCAAGTATATTCACCCAAAGCATGTAAAAAGCTCTTCCAGGAACCTGAAAAAGACAAACACAATGGGTAGGTTATGAATGTCGATGGTTTAGTGGTTAAGCTCTCGGACTCGCAACCGTTACGTCGTGGGTTCGAATCCCGTCAGGGGCCCGACATTGTGTCCTTGGGAAAGGCACTTTGCACAAATTTTCCTCACTTCACCCAGGTGGAAATGGGTACCCGGCTATAGACAGTGAACGATCTTGTCAGTTTGATAGTGTTTGAGCGCGTGAAATCCGCAGCTTGCACTGTACGCTTCCGTGGAAGCCGAGTATGTTTCTGAGTGTTCTCAGAGGGTCTGCTGGGGTAACAATAGTTGTAAAGTGCATAGAGCATGCTCTTGAGCATGGACATGCGCTATATAAATGCATTTTAAAAACACTTCCGCCCCGCCACCATACAAAACTTTTTATACAGTGGAGTCCATATAAACTGAACACAGTGTTAATATGAAATCAGCGGTAATCTGAAAGGAAATTAAATTCCCTTTTTTTGTCCTACTATTTGAGCAACCTCTCACTCTAAACCAAAAACTTGCCAAAGAAAATTTGGTGGTCCCCCAGATTTCAGTTTAAACAGACTCCAGAAAGATATGAAGCTTTTCTCCATGTCAGGGGAAAAAAACATCAACATATGAAAACCAGAAATTCAGTGTACATTCTGTATCAACATTATTCAGCCGTTTTTGTTTTTTTTACTTTCAGAAAGGAGGAAAATGACCCGATTATCTTTAAAAAAAGTAATAATAGAAGAAATTGTTTTGCATGAAAACTGTGGGGGAAGCAGAAATAATACACTAATGTTTTATTACATTAATTAATGATGGAGGTGTTACCATAGCCTCCAAAAGCTCAATCATGATCAAATCTGGCATATTATCTATCCTTCATTGATGGGTCAAGTATCCAAAGTCAAAAACAAAAGACAAGAACTTTTGACCGAAATGGGAATGTTCTGAGAGAGGAGCTAAGGATCCTGTTGTACCATCCCTACAGCATTTCTCTTGTTCAGAGCAGTAAAGCATCAACGTTTAAAAAAAAAAAGAGTAACTCAGTTTGTTTTTTTAGTTTTAGTAGAGGTTTTACGGCGCTCGCAACTGCATAAGGTCATATGAGCGCCAGAAGATTAGAGGTGTTACAAGAGAGTAACAAACATAAAAAAGAAGAAGGGGAGATAAGGACGATAGATGTTTGATAGGAAAGAAGAAGCAAACCACACCAGAGCACCCGCCAACCACCCACAGAGTAACTCAAAATCCGCATTAGTCTTGGGACAGTACCGTAACAATACAAACTATACTTCCCTATAACTGGATCCACACTATAAATCCATTTAAAAAAACCCAAAACAAAACAGAATACAAAGAGCCCAGTTCCAACAAGTGTCACGACTCAACATTACTATACAGTAAATTACAGCACAGTAAACAGCAAAGCACACTACTCCTCCACTGGGACACCTTTATAGAACCAAGCAGTCCATACAGGTGTCTTCAGTTCAACTCACTACACAAGTCAGTACAAAAATTACATTTCTTATCAAAATATAGCACAACTCACCAACAGCAATAACAACCAGAAGTAGTTGGACATCAGTGTTGCAACTTGAACCATAGATGTAAGGAGTATGAGATCTTTGATGTGTCTGTAGAGAGAAACAGATTTTTAAAAAAAAGAAGCAAAACTTAAAATCTTAATTCAAGTAACACTAACATGAGGGGAAAAAAACAAACATGACAGGTCTCTTGAGGGATCTTATTTCAAGCCTGAGCACTTTTGGCGATAGGGAAGGCTGATGATAATGAAAAATCTAGAACAAAGATGTTAAAACTCCACAAACATGCCCAATAAGTAGATTAAAAATAAATATATCATACTTCATTCTCCATAAGGCTCTTATTGTGAAATGTTTAAATAAAATAAAAAATAAACATCTTATATATGGTCGCCTCTAATGACAAGCGGGCTACCCCAGATTTCGGGGGTTTCCAGAAATCTTGACCGACACCAAAAGTGGGCATTACCCTACCAATAGGAGAAGTTTGGTTTCATTGTTGTGTGTATTTGTTTGGTTATAGAGAAAATTCTCCTTGTCTTTTAAAGAAACTAAACAAGGGGCAAAAAACTTTACCTGCGATTTTCTCAAAACTGCATTTTTTTAGATAGCCCCCTTGTGCTTAGAAGCAGGCCATCTGAAATTCTCTGATTGTAAATAACCAAAGCAAGGATTCATGAACAGCAAATATTAAATTAAGGCCTGATCAAAAGTAAAGCATGTGAACTTAGAGAGGGGGGGGGGGGGATCACCACAATGTACATTGAGACTTCACTTGAAAAGAGGGAGTTAAGAACATGCCACAAACACACGGTGCTCACTCAGCCATTCCTGCCTCCATGTTGAGATCCACCCCAGGGTCAATCAACTGTCCTTCATGGTATGTGGCTCGGGACATGCTGGCCATGAATTGGTACGTAGCCAGGTAGATGACGGAACACAGAACACACATGATCTGAAAAGAAGCAATAAATCTGAATTAAGCTACATATCTATTATTTTTCACAGGCATCATTTTACACAAAATATAAGCTGCAGCAATTGTTGGGCTAAAAATCACAAAAAATACATAAGAATATAAGTTTAAAGGAAAAGGAAAGAAACCAACAAGCAAGTGGGCTTTGCACTGAGCGCAGCTGAATCAAGTTAGTCTTTTTTGAAAAGGCTAATTTACGTTGTATGGGAAAACACCAATTTATGATGTGCGTGAAATCACCAACTTTTAACTGAATGCCTTGCTCATGTGGTGATAAGACCTGATCTTCATTCTCTACCCAAGACATAAAAGGTAGAGGAATATCATTCGGTAGCTACAAGACCACATGTATGTGCCATCATTCGTATCTGTTCCTTGTGTCCATTATTATTATTTCCCTTATTTGTCAATCGTATTCATCTGCTTTATTTCTGTCCCGTTTCTGTCCCAGTCATGCATCGTCTGACGTATGTCTTCATTGTGCTTGATTATTAAAAGTCTACGTCAAGTCACAAAGAGTGTTGACATTTATCTATGAAGACATAAGAGATACATCATGACCACCATCCCTTGCCCTGCCCCGGGCTGCGGCGTGGAGTGGCCTGCATCTACGCCGACCGAGGTGTTGACACGCCTCATTGACATCCACGCCACCACAGCCCATGCAACACGAGCGAATGCACCGACTGCGGCAGCCAAGGCTGAGAAAGTGCGACGCCCTGTCGTGTCTGCATCCGGAACGAGCGAGGCGTGGTCATACTTCACCCAACGGTGGGCCGACTACAAACAAGCGACTCGCCTCACTGGTGCAGACATCGTCTTCCAGCTTCTCGAGTGCTGCGATGAATCGCTACGAAAGGATCTCACTAGGACATTCGGCGCCCTAGCCTCCAGCGGAGAGGACACTGTCTTAAAGAACATCAAGAGCCTGGCGGTGCGCCAGGAAAACATCATGGTAGCACGGGTACAGCTACATCAAATGAAGCAAGACCGGGACGAGCCTGTCAGAGCCTTCGCCGCCCGCCTCAGGGGCCAGGCTGGGGTTTGCAACTTCAAGATAAAATGCCCTAGGTGCCCTCCAGATGTCCACGAACCCAGCGTGGACTATAGCGATATGATGATTCGTGACGTCCTCATCCGAGGTCTAATTGATGAGGAGATCCGACTCGACATCTTAGGTGAGTCAAAGCAGGACATGTCCCTCGAGGATGCACTCTGCTACGTGGAGGCGAAGGAGAGTGGCAAGAGGTCAGCCAGTCGCCTCGTTGAAAGCTGCTCCTACACCACGGCAGCGGCCACAAGCTCCTACAAGCGCAGTGAGAAGCTCGGCACACAGGGCAACTTGTTCCAAAGTAAGGGCCAAGCGTTCCCCTGCAATTACTGCGGAAAACTGGACCATGGGAATGGTAGACAGGAACGTATGAAGAAGTGTCCGGCATTTGGTAAAAGATGCACCAGGTGTGGCCTATCCAATCATTTCGCCAACTTCTGCCGACAGTCGTCACGGAATCGCAACCCCTCCAATGCCCTGGATGACTCTGCTGCCGCCTTTGACAGTCTATGCGGTGCAGATTCCGCCACACCAGTGTCTAATGCGCACTCTGTATCCCTAGACCATCATGTATACAACGAGTTTTGCAGGGCATGGGAGAAGCGAGCATCCGACCCTCAGCCTTTTGTGAATGTCACCGTCCAGGCAGTGCCTTCAGATGCCCAATCTCTCGGCTTCCCGCCATCTCTGAGAGGCAGCACCTCTCCCGTCAAGTACCAAGCTATGGCAGACACTGGGTGCCAGTCGTGCCTGGCGGGCGTAGCACTCTTGACTAGGATGAGCCTCACCCGCCGCCATCTCCTCCCTGTCAACATGAAGATGACAGCTGCGAATCGTGGGGCCATTGACATCATCGGAGCCCTTCCCCTTCGTATTTCTGGTACATCTCCGTCCAACACCAAGCTGGTGACTCACCAGATGGTGTACTTCACCACATCCACTGGTCGGGTGTTCCTAAGCAAGCAAGCCTGTGTGGCTTTGGGAATAATCCCTCCTAGCTTTCCGACCATTGGCGCCACCAGTGCAGCAATCAATTCGAAGGACAAGCCGGCTTGCGGGTGCTCACACCGCCAACCACCTCCGCCACCACCAACCTCCCTCCCGCTTCCTGCCACAGAAGAGAACAGAGAGGGCTTGGAGCAGTGGCTCCTAGATCACTACAGGTCCAGTACCTTCAACGTGTGCGAACATCAACCTCTACCGATGATGTCTGGCCCTCCCATCCACCTCATGGTGGACCCTGACGCCCGTCCCGTGGCCCACCACACCCCCATTCCTGTCCCAGTCCATTGGCAAGACGAGGTCAAAGCCGGCCTAGATCAAGATGTGCGACTGGGGGTCATCGAGCCTGTCCCCGTCGGCACCCCAGTCACCTGGTGCCACAAGATGGTGATCTGTCCGAAGAAGTCGGGTAAACCAAGGCGCACGGTTGACCTCCAACCGCTTAACCGACATGCAACGCGGGAGACACATCACACTCAGTCTCCCTTCCACCAGGCCCGCAAAGTGCCACCCCACACGAGGAAATCGGTTTTTGACGCGTGGAATGGCTACCATAGCATCGCTCTTGCTGAAGAGGATAGACATTTGACGACGTTTATCACCCCATGGGGTCGTTATCGCTATCTCGTGGCCCCCCAAGGCTACATATCATCCGGGGATGGATACAGCCGCCGCTTCGATGAGATTGTCGCCGACTTCCCCCACAAAACCAAATGCATTGACGACACCCTTATGTGGTCAAACTCTATTGAGGAAGCCTTTTTTCAGACCATCAAGTGGCTTGACCTATGTGGCACCAATGGCATCATACTCAACCCATCCAAGTTTCAATTCGCCAAAACTACGGTTGAGTTTGCAGGTTTCGAAATAACTCCCTCTACCGTGCGCCCATGTGCCCGCTACCTGGAGGCCATTCGACATTTCCCCACACCTCGGAACATCACCGACGTCAGGAGCTGGTTCGGTCTCATCAATCAGGTATCCTATGCCTTCGCTTCCGCCGAACGCATGCTCCCATTCCGGGAAGCCCTGAAGCCGGGGAAACGCCTCGAATGGACAGAGGAGCTCGACCGTCTGTTTGAATGGTCAAAGGAGGCCATCATCAACGAAATCCACCAAGGGGTTGAAATATTTGACAAGAAGAAACCAACTTGCCTAGCCACCGACTGGAGCAAGGATGGCATAGGCTTCTGGCTCTTCCAGAAACATTGTACATGTCTTTCGGAAAAGCCATTTTGCTGCAAAACTGGCTGGAAGATCACCCTGGTCGGTGGTCGATTCACATCAGGAGCCGAGTCCCGCTATGCGCCCATAGAAGGTGAAGCCCTGGCTGTGGTTGATGCACTAGACAAAGCACGCCATTTCACCTTGGGTTGTTCCGACCTGATCGTGGCGGTGGACCACAAACCTCTTTTGAAGACGTTTGGGGACCGGTGTCTCGACGATATCCCCAATCCCCGCCTCAGGAACCTCAAGGAGAAGTCCCTTAGATATCGTTTCCGCATCGTCCACATCCCCGGTCTACGCCATGCTGCAGCAGATGCCGTCTCCCGCAGACCAGTAGGCAGCCCTAACACTCTCAGACTCCCTGATGATGCCGCTCCCATTCTGCTCCTTGATGACCCTCCCTTGACACTTGAACTGCCACACGACTTTCTTTCTGCCATCCGCACCCAGGAACTGGATGACACCAACCAGGTATGCTCCAAACCTGACCTCGCTCCAACTGAGGTGATCAAGTCAGTGACTTGGGACGAGATTCGACTTGCAACATCCAGCGACTCTACAATGACTGCTTTGAGTAACACTATTGAGGATGGGTTCCCTGAAGACAGGGCTTCTCTGTCCCCTGATCTTCGCCCATACCATCAATTCCGGGAGTTCCTCACGACATTTGATGGTGTCATCCTGTACCACGACCGGGTAGTCATCCCCCCGTCGCTCCGTGAGCGAGTCCTCCAGTCCTTACACTCTGCTCACCAGGGCTACCTAGTTGCAGTCGACAGGTACAGTAACTGGCCTATCGTTGAAGAAGCCTCCCATGGGTCTGCCGGCCTCGTTGCCGCGTTGCGTCGCATCTTCGTCACGTATGGCATCAGTGATGAACTGACATCGGACGGAGGCCCAGAGTTCACGTCCCTGGCAACCTCAACCTTCCTTCGCAACTGGGGTGTCCACCACAGGGTCTCTTCAGTCGCCTTTCCCCACTCTAATTGTCGCGCTGAAGTTGGAGTAAAGACAGTGAAACGGTTGATCACTGACAACACGGGTGCACAAGGATCTTTAAACACTGACAAGTTCCAGCGCGCAATGCTGCAATACAGGAACACTCCTGATCGTGACACCCACCTATCCCCAGCGATGTGTATCTTTGGACATCCAATACGGGACTTCATCCCCATCCACCCAGGGAAGTATCAGCCTCACAGTACCTGGCGTGAAACCCTTCTGTCGCGAGAGGATGCACTGAGGAACCGGCACATGCGCACCGCTGAGCGCCTCTCTGAGCACACTCGCATCTTACCTCCACTCGTCGTCGGTGACTGTGTGCGCATACAGAACCAAACGGGAACCCACCCGACCAAATGGGACAAGACGGGCATTGTAGTCGAAGTACGTCAATTTGACCAGTACGTCGTTCGAGTGGATGGCTCTGGCCGCGTCACTCTTCGGAACAGAAAGTTCCTCCGCAACTACATGCCAGTGGTCCCACGCTCACCACTGACAATGATCCCGGGTGGCACCTCACCACCACAGCCGGTGCCTCAGAATGTTCACACCCCCGGGCATGCCAAGCCCAGCGTGACCTCGCTGCCCTCTCCTTGCCCGGATCTACCACAACCAGCTGACGTTCCGGACCCCCCAGCACATGATCCATCGATGCCCAGTGTCCCCGAATCCAGGCAAGAACTAGCACCTGATCCACGCCCTGCTGTCGAGACGGTGGTTCCACAACCTCAGGCTCAAGCCACCCCGCGTGCTCTACGTTCGCTCCAGCCGCACAACGCCCCTGGCATACAAGAGCAAGATGCTCCCATAGGCGTGAGCACGCCTCCAGGCGGCCCTCGGCGATCGGCGAGACTGTTGGCCAGACAGAGCCCCAAGTCAATTGACTCTAAATCTTATTCTGATTCAGATCATTGATCAATCATTTATTCCTTGTTGTATCACCATTATTTCTTGACATTTCATCAGTCTTTTCTGTTCTACTCCAAAGACTTGGGGGGCGTAGAGGAATATCATTCGGTAGCTACAAGACCACATGTATGTGCCATCATTCGTATCTGTTCCTTGTGTCCATTATTATTATTTCCCTTATTTGTCAATCGTATTCATCTGCTTTATTTCTGTCCCGTTTCTGTCCCAGTCATGCATCGTCTGACGTATGTCTTCATTGTGCTTGATTATTAAAAGTCTACGTCAAGTCACAAAGAGTGTTGACATTTATCTAAAAGGATTAATATTCCAATAAATAAATCATCTAAAGGTGAGAGGATTCCAACAAACGTAACGATCAAATAAAAACTGTCCTCCATCGAGGTGAGGTTTCCTTCATCCACTATTGTTTATGTATGCATTTGCTAGTTAAAAATATTAAAATAGTAACTTACCGCTGAAGTTGTTGTAAAATAGTCCCAAAACAGGAAATAGTACACAGTGTAGTAAAGGACCTAAAAGACAAAAAAAAAGACAGCTTGAATTGAATACATAATCAAGAAAAAATGGACACAATAACAAACGACCATCAACAGTAATCAATCAGTGAGTCATCTCTGAGTAACAACTAAAATCTACAGCAAACCAAGTGAAGTATTTTTGTGACCATTACCAATGCCTGTTTTATGTACATGATATGATATATGAAGTCACAGACTAACAAAGTAATTTTATTTTCAACTTCAATGGCTAAACTTTCAGACCGAAACTTCTAAACTAAACTTGCACAAAATCTCTCTCCCCTCTCGTCTTAAGGAGCTCAAAACTTTTTTTTTCTCACTCTAGCCCTTACTCTCCATAACTACCACCATTATCCATAAACAACCCCAAAACTTTTTCAGACCGGACCAAACCCCATCTCCTGGAGGCCACTGTTTTGGATAGAAACTGAGCCATTTCGAGCTAAACTATGAGTCAAAAAGAAAAGCCATACAAAGCTGTCCTAATTTGAGAACAAATAACCGAAACGAAATCAACCAAATAACAGAGTTCTGGATTGAGTTTTTCAGTGATGATAGAGCTTTGTCCACCTTAGACCATTCATTTGGAAACTGACCACCTTTAAAATACTCAATGGTTTATTCATTCACTGACACTGTGTCTATAGTATAGTAGGTTTCCCTTTAAGTGGATCATAAATTTGCTGACGTGATTAAATGAGTTAACAACATATGTAATATATATATATATACACGTGACATACACAAACTTACATTTGCGGCGGCAATAACTTTTATATAAAAGCTGAGGGTACTCTTGTTTTCCTCAGCAATCTGTTTCTTGCCTTTTGTCCCTTGTTTTCCTTTCGGCTAATAAAGAAAAAAAAATCAAAAATGTTTTTTCTTATTACACGTACATAGAAGCATAAAGCCTGCTTGAAAATTACAGGTGATTTATCAGAGGAGGAATCTAAAACAGAGAACAAAATTTACACAGGTACAGGAACAAAAAAATGGTGGTGCTACTAAACGTAAAACAAGCCAACAAGTATGTTTTTGTAGTTTGCATCTGCTTACAACTCATTATATTTATGGGGAGGAAACTTACTTTTACAAAAAGAAATATTTTTATTTTACTGTAACAGTTACAAACCTTTGAACTGAACCATACATATTATTATTGTATGTTACACCATTACTTTCTTCTGACTCTGACTGTAACCAAAGCAGGCTACATGGTATCTATATATAGGCCCTTAGTGATTTGGAAATGACTTTCAATGTTTTAATTGTGTAACAGAGAGCAAAAAAAAAGTCCGGAAGTTACAAAGGCTTGATTTGAGAAAATGGGGAATTATAGTGAAAATGGCATTTTTGGGGAAAATTGACTTTAAGGATGTCACCTCATCAACCATTTTCCTCATCCTCACAGATTATTTTACGCCATGCGAGAATCTAAAAATTATGTTTTTGAAACCTTTTATCTAAAACAAAACAAGCAGGTTCATTCAGTAACATGACAAAATAACTTTGAATTTTAACAATTATTCAACAGTCTGTTTCGGGGGGGGGGGGGGGGGGGGGGGGCACTCTCATGATCTAGAGGTTACGGTGTACGCCTCTCATACAATTTAGGTCTTAGGTTCGAAACCTGACGGTGATGGAAAATCTCTAAATTTTTCTCCTTTCACTTTTTTTCCCACTAGATCTAGATCTAGTCTCGAAAAGTGCTTACCATTCCTGTTGAACTGGGTTACTTAGGCGTACATTACAGAGTGTGGCATTGAGGAAAATACAAATGTAAACTTTATCACGTTTTATCATGTGTGTGCTGTAAATCCTTTATTTTTTTACCCGCTATCATGCTAATTAATATCAAAGGAAACATGTTGCAACTTTTCCGCAGTGACTTTTAATGAAGACAGTGTCAATTGCCACAGAGTGATGTGATGACAATTGACGCCTTGCCTTGTAGAAATTGGAGCTCTTTTACGTTAGTGAGTGTGTGCTCGGTGTTCTGCATTCGTGAACTTCCACTTACATACGCCTCTCTCTCTCTGTATGTGTCTCTCTGTCTCTCTCTAACCACCATCCCCCAGGTGCCGGATTTATGTCCCCCGATATATATATATATAAGTGTATTTCGCCACCTCGCCTTCCGCCCGGTCCCATCAGTCAGGCCCCTCCCTGGGCTCTGGCTCACGCATGAGCACCGAGCATCATCCATGTTATGACTTGGTCCCATCTGCAGCTCAAGTGAGTGTGCATCAGTCTGCTTGGCCTTGAGTTTGTGTGCGTTTGTGGCCTACTTCTACTTTTAGAATCGCCTGTGGTGGTTCTACACCGAAGAAGCTTAGGCTGGCCTACGTCTCCAGCCTAGCCTACGTCTCATTCAAAACACGCCAAGATGAAATCGACAAAAAAGCATTCCAATTAAATTACAATAATGAATTAACGTTTGCACAGTGGTTATTGCAGAACAACAATAACTCATGGAAAAGCTAGACTTACAGGCATTGTGTTCAAGTCTTGTTTTGTTTTGTTTTCAAAACACCGGTAGACAGGCAAACAGCTGTCTCGCTCAATCAAGGCAGTGCAGTGTAGTTGATTCGGCACAATCGTAAGCAAACCACAACACACTCTTGTCAGTTCCGTGCACTCTGTGGTACAAGAGTTATCTATCTTTAAGAACAAGAAAGCTCTTTGGCTAGTGAAAGTGAAAGCAGAAATATTGGTTCGGAAAGTTATTATATTATTTCATATAATTCTATTTTATTTTCAAAATTAAACAAGTATTTTTTAAAATTATAAATTAAATCCACTCTTTTTCTTGATTTTTAAGGATTTTTTTGGTGAAATATCATTATTTTTAGTCAATGTGAAATGTATTTCTAGATCGATTTGAAACTGCGTCGAATCCGGCTTTTTTGTTTTCACATTGCCCTTTCACCTTTTGTTTCTGTTTGACAACACAACACGTCAAAGCCGCTGTCACGGTCCAACCAAAATAACGTGTGCTGTAGAGAAGCAACAGTACATTGACAAGAGAAGTGGACCCTGCAATTGAATCAAAATATTATGCTATTCAGGCACAGTTTAAGAATGTGAAACAATTTTCATGATGATGATGTACACACAATTTTAATTTTCTCAAAACAGACCCAGTGACCACGTAACGGATGCAATGAAACTTGCAAGTGACTACTACACTTAAAATCTAGACCTAGACTTAGACTACAATCTAGATTTCTTATATTTCTATTTCTACAGTCTAGATCTACATCTATCTACGTCTAGATCTATACCTCTAAAGGTCTAGTGTTAACAGTTGAAGTAGTAGACTCTAGCAGTAGATCTGATCTGGATATAATCTATACAACGGACAGCACCGACTTAGAAAAAAGTAACAGCAGAGACTGGCCGAGAAGGAGAGATCAGGAAAACACAACAACTTCTCTAGAAAAGACTTAAAACCTTCTGATTTTTCAAACCCAATTACCCAATTTGACAGCAAAGTCGAAAGCCGAGCTTTACCATGGGAAAGCGGGATTCATCAGCACAACACTGTGCTCCTGTTGACCAATATAGAAAACAAATTGGTGAGTTGAAGTAGTGATCGATAAATCAAAATTAAGCAATTGCATAATATTGGGTGGCAGAGCAAATTAAAATTTTAAACATATAGATATATATATTCTGCTATGGAGCTATATATGTGGGTGTGTCTAATTACAATGAGAAGAGCAACCGAAGCTTGTTTGTGTGTTGTAACAGAATTTTCTCCTACATTTTATTAATCCCTTTTTTAAAAATTTAACAGCGGATTTTTCCTGTAACAGCAATCTTTTTTGTCAAATTGTCTGACAAAAACTATTTTGATGATTCACAAACAGTGTGAACTAAAATATATAATGGCCAAAAATGTCAGTGTGACTTGCATTTCCCCCTGTCTTTTTATAATCTACCCGCAACACCTACGCTGGCCAAAAATACAGGTACACTGAGTACAGAAGCTCCATTTACACTCTCTCACCATGAGCCACCTTTCTTGAAGTCTTCGGGGGAAAAGTCTTGGACACTGTGTATAACATTATTACCTTGCGACCGAACATTGACTCACATGAAATTGGAAGGTGATGTTGCTTAAATATTGTTACTTTTAAACATAAGAACGTCCCCGCAAGTGGTGGTTAGTACTTGTGCATTTATAAACATGTGTTTGTATGAGATGGGATCACCTCCTCCCCACCCCTCTGAAAATTCAGTTAGCATCAATTAACCTCCACCTAACACTGTTTTTTCCCCAAGAGGGTTATTGCGGTGAGGCGGACACCACTCAGGACCACTGTTCTAACTTTTATGGAAACCCTGACTGAACAAAATGTTGACTGAAGGAACTATGCATTAAATTTAACAGTAAACTCTGCCTAAATGCACTTCATAAAGGTATGCTCCACTCAAATGCACACTTTCATCATATGATGGGATTTTGCGAATTTATAGAAACAAAGGCATGGTTACTTCTCTTAAACACATTATGCTTCAATCCACTAAATACACCGATAGAGCTAGACAAAGGGAAATATTCCCACAACCTAGACAGTGTGCATCATGATAGATAACAAAGACAAGTCTAGACAACTGGATACCTGTGAAGGCCACTCTGCACAATGAAAGTTATGGACAGCTTGTTCTGTTCTCACCTTATGGACACATGGGACTGGACAAGAGATTTATGTTCGGGGGATGACTGAAACTATGACGTTTGACTGGTCACTCGAAATGTGTCTTTGAGAGAAGGTATCCCACTAACTAGTGTTTGGGTGACTGTAATGGTTTCATTGAACATGCTGACTAGTGCCTTATTATTGTCAGATTTTCCTGAAAACTTGCATGGTGTGTTCCAAAGAAATTGTCTAAAGGCTGGCGAAATTTCATTACTTTTCATGATTCCTTCATAACCAGACCTAAGACTTACATGTGTGAATAATAATAGGTAGCATTTGTATAGCGCAAATCCCCCCTCAACAGCAAGCTCTATACGCTTCGCAATCTATACTAATACCCCAGCAGACCTTAGAACATTCTGAAACAACCTCAACTTCCTGGGAAGCATACAGTGCAAGCTAAAGCACTAACATACTGACAAGATCTCTGGCTAGGTACCCATTCCCACCTAGGTGAAGTGAGGATAACTCGTGTAAAGTGCCTTTCCCAAGGACACTACGTCGGGCCCGCGGCTCGAACCCCCAAACCTGCTACCTCACGAATACGAGTTCGGTAGCCAAACCTCAACGCCACTATTTGAACCCCATCGTAGTTTGCTTCAGCTGATTGTAGATTCAGTCTACTTATAATTATCAGATTGATAAACTGACCTTGAGAGAGTTGTAAAATGATACGATCTGAACAAAAAGGGATTGGCTGATGTTGAAAAAAGCAACCCTAGAAAAGATTTGAAAAGAAAGAAACAGATAATATAACTATTAGCACCCGGTAATATCATGTAGGCCCTACCAGCATAGGAAGAGATTCTCTTAAGCTATTACTGCCTAGCAGAGGTAAACACACAAGTTCTTAAGTTCAAGGAAAAAGGTATGGTTGACAAGAATATAAATACTTTTCTTTATTTTTCTGTCAGAGTTTTATTAGTCTTTTGTGCATATTTTGTAACCCCTGTTTCTGTTGTTTCAGGTAAACAAGACTGGAAAAAATCACGGAAAGATGTCAAACTGATGAAGAACCGGTCTGAACAAGACAGTCAATCTACTGCACAGGTGAGCAAAATACAAATTTGTCTTCATATAGTTCATCAATTTTGGAGTGGTGTAATCTGTAAATTATTCTGCTGCAAACTTTGTATAACACTCTTGGGAATTTGAAGTTTTGGTCTCCCACACAGCTCTCAGCAAAGTGCCAGTACTTCCACATTTTTAAGAAAAGAAAAGAACAAGTTGAAATTTGATTTTTTTAAAAATAATTATATTTCTGTTTTGAAGGTGGTGACAGTTATGATTGGGAAATTTCATTTAATGCAGTGTGCTTTGGTAATTTCTTAGCCTTAGGGGCACGTCCCTGATAGAACTTGTCATTTTACAGATTACTACAGTGGAATCCTGTTATAACGAGAGGGAGGGGACCGGTGCCAAATGTTCGTTATAGCGGGATTCTCGTTATAAGGGATCCAGTAATAAATTCAAGGGAAATAGTAAAGTAGGCCTAATCTATGAGTCTAGTTTTCGGTTTATTTCTTTTTGTAATCTCCCCTGATGATGATTTGGTTCAACATGGCCTTTAAGTCTTACTTGATCAAAAGTCGAATCAGGTTTCTTTCTCTAGCGCTAGCGATGTTGACAGCTCGGCGTAGGCGATCAGAAAGAAAGTTCTCTAGGCTAACTCGCCTGCTGTGTTGTCACCCACCCCACCACACCCTGTGGTGCGTTCCGTCTGCTTGTGCACAATGGGAACATACCACACCCCGCCTACGTCACACATTCGCTCCGTCCATCACAGTACAGCAATGACCTCTCCATCCCCGCATTGGAGAAGTGAGAGGCATGGTAGGCCTAGATAACCTAGACTAGGCTGGCCTATAACACGATGCGTTCTGCTTGTCTGTGCATGCCACACTCTCCCCACTCATTCAATCAGGCCTTCATTGTTGGCACATGTGGGCTCTCCCACTCTTTGTTCTGCTAGATAACCAACAAGTTTCTCAACTGGCGAGGTTTTACACGAATAAATGGCCTATGCGCTGTGCACAGCAGCAGCAATATTCCGCTATAACCGACTCGCATGTTTGTCTACTTGCGTTATAGCAGTATTTTATTTGCAAAGATAAAGAAGGGAAAAAACGGGGTTTTAGAAAAGTGTCTTTATAACAGTCTTCTCGTTATTTTAGGACTCGTTATAAGTGGATTCCACTGTACTTTAAAATTGTAGCCTAGGAAATTTTGAAAAACGAGGACAGTAAGTCATCACACATGAAGACCTGAAGTAGCTCTGAGTTGCGTTATAAGAGGGTCATAGTGAGTTTACTTCAAGATCAAGGGCTCTTCAACAATATTGGTAATCTGAACATATTAATATTATATAAGTTGTATATGTGTCGCAAGGTGGTGGAATCATGTGTTCGTCAATTTTGGGGCATTTAGGGTTATTGGTGTCATCATAAAGCTTGTTCATTTGTCTTGCTTTCATTGAAAAAATTACTCATCTCTCTTGAACAGGAGTCGATGTAATTGCAATTGAAGGAAATGGTGTTGTTTGGTTTCAGAAGTAAAATAAGCAAGAAAATGGCTGACAAAATGTGATGACTAACATAGCTTCAGAGTCCTTGGAAAATGCTAAATTACATGTTTTGTGCCTTTGATCAACATTTTTCAGTAAAATCCACACAGAAATGTGTTTATAAATGGACATTAATATTGTTGAGCCTCCCCCCAAAAAAAATTGAAAAAAATTGCCCGTCCATAAAAATACAGACTTCTTCACTTTCATTATAATTTTGATAAGCGCCTGATTTCACAGCACTGCGGCGGCGCTGCCTAACATATATTAATATCAATGTGCAATTTAACATATAAACAAATATCATTGACAATTTTTCACTTCTTCTCCTTTTGAAAATTTCACCTGTGTGTTTCTTCTTCAAGTTTCATATGTCAGATATCTTTCAATGCTTAAAAGGTTTGATTTTTTTCCCCCTTCCTACAGCAAATCGTCCTGATGTTGGGTGTTGCTATTGCTGTGCTGTCCTCGTTGTACGTTCTGCTATTCTGGTACCTGGGTGCTGCATCACTAGATGAAGTTAAAGAAGAAAGACCTGTATAGTGATGAAATGACATTGGAAGACAAGAAAGGAAATTTTATAAGATGGGATTGACAGACACGAAAATAGTACAACTTTTTTTGGCCTCAGTGACTTATGTTGAAATGTTCATTGCATTTTGGATGAGATTTTTCACCGGACTGCATCTGTTCATTGGAAGTATCCTGTATCCATTGTGCAAGGCAGCATGGAGTGTGTGGAAAGTCTGTAATCTTTTTCACAAATGCCTTGTATGATCGTCGATCGTGATTCATTTCTTTGAATGTCATAACATCTTTTTAAAATCTTCCCCTTCAGAACTGGGAAACTAGATTTTGTTTAAAGGGCTCTATCTCTCACTATAATGGTTTGCCACTGAATGTCAGGACATATTGTTATATATATTCTTCCTTTAAAAAAGAGTCAGATAACTGGCTTGTATTTCAGCAGGTAAAAGAGCTTTTTTTTAGGTGGAATTTCTCTTTTGGTCCCCTATCAGCAACTTTTATTTTGGGGGGTGCATTTTAAGGAAGTTTTCCCATTGATATGCTTAGCCATTTGAAAATTAATAATGCTAAATGCATATCATGTAATTGTTTTGACCTCCAACCATCATATCTTCTGTAATCTGATGCCTCAAAACAAATTTCTTGTTTGGGCAAATATATCAAGAACCCCCCCCCCCCCCCCTTTTTTCCCCCCCAATGTTTATGAAGTGCAATATTTATTCTAATTCTACTATTTTCATAATTATAGCGCAGTAAAAAATATGTAGTGCAACTTATCCTCAAATATCTCTTTAATTGGTGAATTAATGTCACCCGTACTTTGCACGTATCAGTTTTTATCAATTTGTCTTAATTTAATCACATTTGTCCACAACAAATGAGGCTCGATTAAAAAACTTTTCTTCATAGATTTGTATAAAATATTACAAATCTCCTTCGCATGGACAATGGAATTGTTCACAGCACTTCCCGCTTCTCACATACATTTTGTATACGCATATATGGGTTATGTCATAGCTCACCAATGATACTTTTTAGTGGCAAAACTAGTTACAAGAAATTAATGTTATAGTGGACACTTTTTTGCACTAAAAGTTCTCAAAACATGCGTTCAATAAAGAAAATCTCACGATTAGAAAAAAATGACAGACTTGCTTTTAAAAGCGATATTGTCCCAGCTGTAAACCTTTTAAAATCAATAGAAACCACCCACTAGGATTTTAAAATTAATATTTATTGAGGAATTTTCTAGAATAGAGCTAACAGGTCTTTACAAAAATATTGATCTGTTAAGACAAATTGATACAAGTCACTGTGCCAAAGCTGGAGAATCTATGTTCGATAGATAGTCAAGGAGATATTTGACAGTAGGTTGCGCCATGCATTTTTGACTTCACTATAATTGTCTCACTTGTGTGTATTAGAGTCTCTAATTTTGATGGAGTTTTATTGCTGGAAAATATAGCTTTGGCCAACTTTCAAAATGCTTCCAGGGATCTTTTTGTCGTGGATGAAAAATGAAAGACAAAGGAGTATTGAAATCGATTAGGGTCTATTTCTTAAAAAGTTGAGAATAGTCTTTAAAATTTCCAGGTAGGTTTAAATGAGTAAATCAAGTAAATGTCTTTTGAATGTCAGTGCGTGTGCTTCAAGATATTTTGATCAATGTCAGTGATTGTGGAACTGATAAAGGAGTTGACATCCGAGGAGAAAAATGAGTCCCTCTGTCATATTGCATTAATTTAATTAAATAAATTGTGTATCATTGTGTGTTGCTTTTCGTACTTCCTCGTTAAAACTGCTGTCTCTGGTAGGCCTACATTCTCACCCAGAAATAAACTGGATGTGTGTGAAATATGAAGAGTATTATACTTGTGGTTGATGGTCAGTTTTTAGGTGTTTTTTTCATTATTCATTGCACTTTTTCTGGTGGTGACTGGATGCCATTTTTATGCGTATTTCGTCAAATTTAGGACTATTTGAACAATTTGGGGGTCTTTTGTATGGCCAGTCTGTTCATGGACATGATGTCGACATTCACCATGTACTGTTGACTCCACTTGTGTTCAAATCACTAGAGCTGATTTTCGTTTAAGTAGATCTTTTTCTTAAGTCCCTGCAACCCTTTTTCTTTACATTTGTTAAAGTCAAATGGTCATGTTGAGATTTTGTTACGTCCCCTTGATTTTGTGGTCGCGGAGGTCAAGTTGAAGTTTAAGGATCAGTTGATTTTTTCAAATTTAACTCTCATCTGTAGTCGACTGTATTTTTTTATGCAGCTTGAAAAGCTCCCGTCTTACTTAGTCAGGACATGCTTACGTTGTGGTTCTCCTCAAGCTAACATATTTTATCATAATATTTCATGTTATAGAAGTGAGTGAAAATAGTGTACAGCTTAAATGATGCCAAAAGATCGAAAGATTTGATAACATTTAGAAGACTAATTTTCATTGTATCAGCTTGTTTTCCTTAAAGTATAATACCAAGGTATCAAGATTTTTGGCTTTTAAAGAATTGAGAGGAAAACAAATTGACCAAATGTTCCTACTTTGACTTGCTCTACCTGTCCCCGTGGTTTTATGCACCCCGCATAATTTAGCAAAATTTGATCATATTTTTACATAATTTCTGCCTATTTTCCTTTAACATTCTTTGTTAAAATTAACAGAGTGGCATAATTTCACAGTTTTTGGCTCACTTTACATAATTTCAGAATTTTTCTTGCATAAAACGCCGGGGACAGCTTTAAGAGTGACTGTATTTTTTGTTTGTGCTTTAGCACCAGTATTGTTTTTATTTGTGATGAATCTTAAGTTGACATTGTCATGTGACTTTAATATGATTTGTGTTTTCGTTTTCAGTTATATTTCTTTTTATTGTGATATATACATCATGTTTATTATGATCCAGTGTGAATGTCTCACTACAGCAGTCTTCACTTCAATACTCGGTGCTCAGGAAGGCTCCTAAGCGGTAAATGCATGTATTGTGGCGTCGGTGGCCTAGTGGTTAGGCCCTCGGACTCGCAACCGTAAGGTCGTGGGCTCGATTCCCGTCAGGGGCCCGACGTTGTGTCCTTGGGAAAGGCACTTTACATGAATTTTCCTCACTTCACCCAGGTGGGAATGGGTACCCGGCTATAGACAGCGAAAGATCTTGTCAGTTTGTTAGTGTTTGAGCGCTTAATCAGCTGCTTGCACTGTATGCTTCCCGGGAAGCTGAGAATGTTTCGGAGTGTTCTATGGTCTGCTGGGGTAATAATATAGTGTGAAGCGCATAGAGCCTGCTGTTGAGTGGGGATATGCACTATACAAATGCTATTTATTATTATTATTATTATTATGACATCAGACATTCTGAGACTTTTCTTTAGTGATCCTTTGAACAACATTCTTCAAACGCAGTTGATTACTTGATTGATCTTTGATCCTATAGGTCTGTCTCGTGTTCTACAGCATTCATGCGTGTTATGCGTCATATATTCATAGTATAGCAGTCACCCAAGTACAAGAGAAACCATCTCTCAAAGAAACATTTCGAGTGGCCTATAAAAATACAGTCACCCTCCAAATGTATTTTGTGCCCCATCCTAGACCTATGTGTTCATGGGCAGTTGGGTGTGAAAACACTTTACATCCTTCAAATTCAAATCACTCTTTTTTCTGTGTGAGGGGCAGAGTTGCCAAATATCCGGTCGTGTCTTATGCAATCTGTGTAGGTTTTAGTGAAAGTTCCCCTTTGTCAAGCTTTATCTGTTGATGTGTTTTGCGGATCGAAGCAAGCGTTTAGAGGAAGTGACCGTGCGTTTGTACTTATACGTTTAAATTGTATAGCAAAAAAGTCCTTCCTACAAGGAAAGAGTGCATTTGAGCGGAGTGTGCCTTTGTTTGACTTGTGTTCAAGAAGAGACTACTCAACTACTGTATTTGTTTCCATAGGATGACTATGAAATGAAAAAGCGGCAAATCTTTGCTTTATTAATTTATACATTTTTATCTGAACGTGAACATGAGAATTGGAATGGCCAAAAGTAGTGTGTATACACTGTACTTTTGTGTTCTGTTTTAATTCTCCGAGGTGGACATTCTAAAGTATGCTTCCTTCATTAAAGTTTTGTGCACTACGCATAATATGTAAAAGTTTTCAGGACAAATATGCTCCGACCTGAATCAACTGCGTATTGAATTGTTAGTCCAGACAGTGTCTAGATTAGTAATGGCGCTCAATAGAGTGGCTGTGATTTCTGGAATTTTGTAGGGTTTGAACGTAAAATTGGTGATTACATTGATTATGATTAATGCAGTTTTTTGGTCAGGCATGTTGTACAAGTGTTGGGCCTACAACACTTCTCAGCAGAGCATTTCTACATATTTTGTCAGATCATGGTGCTTTCTAATTATAATCACTATTTTTAACAAATTCCTCCTTTTAGTTGCACTTCAAAAGATTATGTTGTTATACATTTGTGGTTAATTTATTCTGCTTTCCTCTCCCGTCTTAAGAATTTTAAAACTTCATGAAAGTGAAAGGCCAAAAAAAGTTAAGAACCTTTGACAATTTTAATGTAGAAGATTTTTTGTCTTCTGCTTTTTTATGATGAGTTTTAATTTTGTAACCCTCACTTTGTTTTAATAAAACTGCAAGATTCTATACTAAGGTAGGCCTACTTAAACCCTTGACTTACTGCCTACTAAATTTTAAAAACCAAAAATGTGGGATTGGCATTTCCCATTAGTTGATGTAACAATAGTGTGTACGGAAACTTCTGGTCGACCCTGTCGGTGTGTGTGAACTGCTGACGTGAAGAACAAAAAGATATATATATTATAAAAATGTGATGTAATATAAAAATACAATTACGAGTGAGCCTGTTTTTTTTTAGTCCTCAGTAATTTTTCTTTTCAATGCCATGTAACTGTATAAAATTAAGCATTCACTCTGTGAACATAACCTTTTCCTGTCCCTAGAGTGTGGACTCTCCTTCTGTAGTTTCTGTCTGTCACATTTTTCCCAGCTTTAAATAACCATTATTTTGCCAATGTGCTTCTCTTTCTTCACTCACACTCGAACTGTCCTCTGTAAACTGTAATGTTCCCTAGTAATTGTAACTTTTAATTTGTTCGTATACTCTGAAACTTGTGGGAACCCCGGATTTTGTTCTAATTTAAGAGAGGTTACTCAACTGCAGAAAAAAAATGGGGATATTATTTTCTTTCGGTTTACTGTTGTTTTTGGATAAACTGTGTACGGTTTAAAGTGGACTGCACTGGACATATTTTTCATTTTGAGCTCCCTGTGATCAAATTTTGCTTTGTTTGTTTGTTTGAGTAAAGGGAGTCACATCGGAACAACAATGGTCATTTAGAGCTGGGAAAAAGTAAGACGTACAGACAGAAACGACAGAAGGAATGAAAAAAAGTAGGACCTACCAGTGGTTCCCTCCAACCAATATAATTTTGCTTACCGATATTGTTTGAATTCTGTATAAAAGAAAATATATATGTGAGACATCGTGGTTATATCACGCGCTCGTAAAAATAATGAAATCCAAGAAATCTGCATTTTTTGGCCTGTTTGGAATTTTTTTTTCGAATTTTTGTTTTTAGGCTCAACACCTTTTATGTGTTTTCAAAAACTTTTATGTTTGGATTTTATTTTAAAAACTTTTATTAAAAACGAAAAAGATGTAAATTTGCAGTTTTCAAAGACTCTTAAGCTATGGAAGTCACCAAACTTTGGCAGCCATTTTCTCGCTAATTTTACCTCTGAAACCACCTCCTTCTATCACGAATATCTCGACTTCTGTTCAAGATAAATGGATATTTTTTTCATCGAAAGCAGGGCAAATGAACAACCTTTATTAAGATGATACCAATAACTCCACATGCTCAAAAATTGGCGAGCGCCTGATTTCACTGTGTCGTGACAAATATGTCTTTGGTTGAAGTTCCGTGAAATTTGAAACCACTGGCATGGCAATGATGCAACAGTTGAGATGTTCACTGATGTTGGGAAGGAATAATTGTTGAAGAAATATATATGCAACTTTCTATGCATAAAATTTACAAATTATCATTGATCAATAGTTCGACATTTTATTTACATTCTTTGCGATTGTGTTCAGTGCAGTCATGCTTGTTGCTTATTAATGAACCCATAATGTGAATAAAGACTGCCATATAACTACCATTTTTCACTACGAGTGTTTGTTTTAGTAGAGGTTTTACGGCGCTCGCAACTGCATAAGGTCATATGAGCGCCAGAAGAATAGATGTGTTACAAGAGAGTAACAAACATAAAAAAGAAGGAGGGGAGATAAGGACGATAGATCTGTTTGATAGGAAAGAAGAAGCAAACCACAGCAGAGCACCCGCCAACCACCCACACTACGAGTGTGTACGAGTTTAGATCTCCTTGTCGATGTCATTTTCAGAGAACTTTCTGAGACTCGTTTATAGGTTTGAGTATGCTGTACAAACAATTGGGATAGCTTTTCAAATGGTCCAAAACTTGTGAGGTACAAGACGAGACAAAGATCCTTAAAATTTTTGTTAGACGTTTCACTACTTTCCCTTGTCACAAAGCCACAGTTGAAGCCATGCTGCAACACTTCATGTATTTGGAATCAGAGTGCAAGTAGTCTTGGTTGATACATGAGTGTCTCTCTTGTTTCGTTTTTTAGAAAGAGTTTTCCGGCACTCGCAACACATTTAGCTCTTTAGTGCTGAAGATTTAGAGGTGTGACAAGAGAGTAACGCACAAAGAAAAGGAGAGATATGATTGTCCATGTTTGATAGGAAAGAAGGAGCAAACCACACCAGAGCTCCTCTCAACTATCTACTCTGTCCATTGTTTTAATAGAGGTTTTATGGCGCTTGCAACTGCATACGGTCATATGAGCGCCAAAGGGTGGATGTCAACAGAGAAGTCCTTACAGGGAATCAGAGTTACTCTGTTCACCTCTCTAGCACAAGGTCTGCTTCCACTATCAAGGTACCCCGGAAATGGCAGGTCACAAGAGTTTGATAAACGTTCAAAAGAAGTAGAGGAAAAATGGCGATAGTTACTAATAGTAAGGATTATGAAAGAAAAAGCAGCACTTGACCAAAAGTGTAGGCCCACTGCCCAAAATATAGCATGTCAATTTACAATGTTATAGGGACTCTATGTTAGTTCTACAACATACTGGTGCAATTCAACACAGGAATTTTGAACAAAATACACTCAAGAACAGATGGTATTTCAGAAATCTTTATTGCACAAGTGCTGAGGACCATTCCATCTGAGTTCTGTGACCGGCCCTACCCCCCAGGCTGTGCTTCATGGCTTGCCCAAATCTTGCGAAATCATATGCCATGCTTACAAAAATACAAAATAGGAGAAAATGATCCGTCATCACCTCATGATAGCAGGTATAGTTTTTATTTCATTACTTTCATGTTTAATCTTCCTTCTCGAACAAAGAGACAAAAAGAGAACAAAGTCCATATTTCAATCAGCTGGCAGCTCTTTTTTCAAGAAACCAAACTCCGTTAATCATTACCCCTCCCAGAGACGTTTCCCATTATCAGTGCCCACCCATGTCTACTTTGGTATAAAGTACAAAAATCTTGAAACAGCTCAATCCTGGGCATTGGAAATAGAACCTTTCACAAACCACTACGACAGTAGAAAGCAAAAAAAAAAAAGACATGTTTCAAGAATGTGCTCTACGAACTAATAATGCCAGCAACAGAAACAAGGCGGCCATCCTGTGTGCATTACAAGGTAAACCTAGATTGGAACTCCGCTCATCTCTTTTGCAATACTCAAGTTCTGCTGCAACTCGAGCTCTAGCCAGGAGAGGTGCTGGAGACCAAGGAATGACTAGATGACATAAAGCTACCATCCACCATAAAAGGTATATAATGATTATAAGCTGAGAATATTCTGTCATTTATATTACCAGACAGATCTACAAGTTAATATTATATGTTCTCCTATGTATTAAAGCCACTTATGTGAAAGTGACAAAGAGTATTTGATTAAACAAAACGGGAGTTTTAAATAAAATAACAGTGAACCTTTTCTCTTGGCAGAGACGAAAACGAAAAGGGTTTTTTAACAGGGCAAGCCATGAAGATTTGGGCAAGAACAAAACAATAGGTTTAAAAAAAAATTAGCACAGTAAGATTCATGAAAGTCAAATATATGACATTTTGAATGGTGGTCAACTGTTGTTGTTTCGCCTACTATCAGTCTTCAAAATGCAAGGGATTCAAAACATGAATGCTGTCAGATCCCAATTGGAGAGGGAGAATTTATAGTGAAAGAGCAAATGCTTGTCAAGAGACAAAGGCACTCAGAGAGCAGCAATACTTCTGAGAGACCATATATCATTGCAAAACACGAAGGTCCCAAGCTCCTGTGAACACAACATTCGACTTTCAGTTGGACCCTCTTTAAGAGGGTATCAATACAGTCAAACCCCTTCAGCATCTTTTTTGTTTTGTTCTGACAAACGTCAGTGCCTGTGACATAATTCACTTCATCGACATCATAGACATCCTTGTCAAAGTACATGGTAAACATTCTCTCAGATCAGGTTACTAACAACTTTGGTCCGATCAAAGAAAACAAACTACTCTGTACGGGTAGAAAACAAGATTCCAAAACTCTTTGCAAAATCAGTATGAACTCGATTGTACATGATGAAAGCTTTCCTTCTAGGGAATTTTGATATTCAGCATCTTGTCACCAGCTTTTGAAAGTTCCAAACTTATTTGAACATTTCAAAATTATGGGATGTCTTGGACTTCCTAGCACACAATCTCTTTGTCTACATGATGTCATGACAGTATCATTTTTTCCCCTTTAGTAGGCAATCAAAAGACACTATAGCAAAAGATATTTCTCCCTCCAATTGTGCATAAAGGGGTTTGACCGTAAAAAAAATAATATAGAAGCATAACAAACTGTATCACAAATTTAACTGAAATAAAAAAAAAGGAAGATAAACTGTTAAAGGTTCAAAGTTACAAGGCTACAACATGATACATTTAGAATACAGCAGTGTTTTTTCTCACTAAGACAATAAAACTTGAACTTGCTTTCCATTTTAAACTGAAAAAATTTATTACATGTTTGTTTGTTTTTCTCAGGGGGGTCAGCATTTGTCTTCCACATTGCATATCAAATATCACAAATACAGGTCAAATCAAGGGTTCTTGTCTATTCCCTTTCCCAACTTCCATTTCCTATCATGACTGCAAACAGTAAAAATATGAACTTTATTCTTTATTTTGTTTAAAAGTAATATAAACTAAAAAAGAACCATCTGATCATCTAGTCTGGACTGCATCAAACAGTGTCAGCTGTGATAGGAGAGGCAGTATCAGCCTATGTCTAGGACCTGTCATAACAGAAGTATTTTATAGGTAAGTAATAACCATGGGAATCCTTTCACAACTTTTTAAAATATCAGACTATAGTGGTTCTAGCCTTCAAAGCAACTCCCTTAACTGAATTTTCGAAATATCTCCCTACTAAATTACATGATTATAAGCAAAACAATTTTAATTAATAGTAAGCACATCGTTTGTGATACATTCCATCTGCCCTTGGTTGAATATCTTTTGACCCATAAAACTATTGCAAGCATTTGAAGAGTCAAAACTTAAAAGGAAAAAAGAAGCACAGTAACAATTGTTCCGAAGCCACTGCTCAGAGACGATAACAACCTGCACTCCACAAGATAGGCAGACAGAAAAGCCACACTCATGCCTAATTGCTAATAATAATTTACAGTACAATACACAAAAATTTGAAATTTCGTGGAAAAAAACCAACAACTGTATGTACTTTGTAATATTCCTTGATCAGTTGAAGCATGGAAAAGAAATGAATATATTCCATTTTCAATTAAAACATGACGTTATTATAAATTTAAATAATAAACAATGTCGTAGTTTACATGAACATCAAAATGTCCAAGAGGGGGAACAAAAATTGGGCCATACCCCTCCTAGTAAGAACACAGCATACAGACCAGACTAATATTCTTTCGTACTTGACGCTAGGCTACTCTCAAAATATCTGAAGTAATAAGTTAAGTAACAGTCAAAATCTAATGCCAATCATTTCCTTTCGCTTTCACTTTCATTACCATAACAATTTGTCCCTCTATTTCTAAATAAGAACTGCAGCAACAGAGAAGTTCACAGGCGAGTTAGTGTATATTTACACCCTCCAAATGCCAAACTTATCACAAGACTTGTTTCTGGCCCTAATTAAAACAGCATTAACAGTGCTTTCCCCTGGTTTTTCTTTGTAAGAATGACTTTTTTACAGCCAAAAAAAAAAAGTAGGTATGTCAACCTTTGTCACGTTCATTCATACTAGCATGGATTAAAAATAAGCCCCCAAAAACTGTAACTGGTATGTACACAACTTTCTATATTGAACTGTGAACCAAATCTTGAGAAACAATTAAAGTGGAAACTAAAAAAAAAAAACCATAACAGGTTATGTTTACGATGTTTTATTTGCACCGTCACTCATTGACAGACTATTGGATTTCTTTTGATAGCCAAGTCTTGTTCAGGCAAAATACTTCCAAGCTACTCTCTCTTTCTTCATGTTGCAAATTACGGCTCAATTACAAGTAAAACATTTAAATCATTTATTGTAACATTATCTAGTATCACACATGTTCTGTCTCTCACGTATATCTCCCCAAAAAGTTCAAACAGTAATGCAAGCAATCATTAACGGTGAAAGTTTCATACGAACTCTTCCATTTTCCGTACACTTCTAAACAAACATACAAATATACACACACACACATACAAAGGCCCTGCCTGTGCTGAGAGACGATGGTACAGGGAAATGAAAAAGAAATTATGGGGCCAAGCCCCAGAGGTTCATAAAAATGCTTGACATCATTACCACAACAACAGCAACACCAACAATGCATTACTTAAAAGCAGTTTGGGAAGGGGTCCCAACGGACAGGGAGCAAGAACCAAGCACTAACCATTGTTTAAAGTTAACACTTACAATATGACAACACTCATGATCTTCCATGAACTACTTATGGCAATGTGGTCGAGAGAGAACCTGCGAAGGAAGGGGAGGGCTGTGTGATGAAAAGGAGATTGCAATGCAGGGTGGGGGGGGGGGGGGGGTTTCATGTCAAGAAAATGAAGCAGACAGATCAGGGACATAGACCGGCAAAGGTATTCCCGTGCCTCACAAAAGACGAAATTTACTTCGAGTCATTCAAGACAACACTTAAAACACAAAGGCTTTGTTTCCTGTCAATCTCTTTTGCAAGTTGTGTGATATGGCAAATCCAAGTTTCTTCCCAATTGCTTGAGAAAAGATCTTTAAAACAGAACAAGGTGCATGTACACAGATCAAATGAAATCCAATAGAGAATGCTGTCGACTTCACTGAAAACGAACAAGGGTAACTGCGACGGGCGAAACGACACAGCAGACCAAGTAACATTCGAACAAGAAACAAACGTACACGTCGACCACTAACCATGTCATGATAAAATGTTGAAAAGCACTTCAATTTTCAGTAACCCTGGTCTTTTACGTCAATTTATGATGAACAAATCCAATATAACTATACAACTCGAACAAGACATGGCATTCACAGACCTCTAAAGACAAAAAAGACGCTACAACATTTTTAAGCATGTCACTTCAAGACATGATAGTCATTCTTTACATACCCAGAATCACATTGAAGAGAACCCAATTCATGTACTTTAGACCACAGACACATTCTACGTCAAAGAAACAACATTATGCTGATCAGAAGAAAAATAAAACCCCAACAAACTGCTCCTGACCTACTAACAACACATCTGAGATATGAGCCATCCGCACAGCTCGCAAATCTCATAAAAACATTTACCCCAAATTAAAGCAGTTCTAAAAGGGGAAGTGTACAAAACTGTTAGCGATTATGGCCTTTTGTTTTAGCGTATACTATTTTCATAAGAATGAAATATTTTTTAGTTTTTTGTTTAATTTTTTTTCTGCTCAAAGGTGGGGCTACCATTACAAATGAGCAGGCTTTATTACTTCAATGAAAATATGAAAATGAGTCACAGACTAAAACTAAAAGGTAAACAGTAACAACAACAAAAACCAACACAGGCAAAGAAGATGGGGAAAAATTAAAACAAGAACAAAGAAGTACATGAGTATTGACTTTACATTTTGGCCACTTCTATGTGATCTGACCCCACAAATAGACAGGTTCTTCATGTAGACACTGTCATTTTAATGCCATATATTAGGGAAAAAACCTTTGACTCAATTTTGCTGATCTTCTTTGGGGGGTAATGGGAGAAATATGTATGGGTCAAAAGACAAGCACTATATATATTGTAAAGAAAACTTGGCATGATATCAGGTACTCTTCTTTACGACTCTCACTCAGAAAGTTTAAGCAGACATTCCTATGTACAATTCGAAACACAGCCAAAGAGTCACACTCACTCATTCAACCTCTGAAAGAGGAACATCACCTGAAAACGGACATAGATGTAAGAACAAAACTGGGGGGAAGGGGGGAAGATATGAGACGACCACTGAATAAAACAGCTACTGCACTGACCTGGACAATGCATGAACAGAGGAATCAACACGTGCAATGTGAACCTCATTGGAATAATTTACCCAGACCTATTTGTATATAAACAGGGCTGCATGGTTGAGATAATGAGAGGCGGTGAAAGACCAATTCTGGGGAATCCAATTTTGGAGAGGGAGGAAAGAAGCCAAGAGTGGGACCAAGCTGGGAGATAAAACATTCAGGGCAGTCCTGAAGGAGACCAGATCTCTTTATGGATTATCAGACAGGCAGTTACCTTGCTTTTGCTGCTGGCACATAAGGATAAAAGCCAGCACACAACACCTCCTTCTTCAACCCTTCTACCCTATAAAGACTGAAAACAAAAGTATTTCTTGCACAAATCTTTGCAGGAGTACACTGGGAAGACTGACCAGGTAAGGTCCAAGAATGGGGACAAGGCATGTAACGCAAGCATTCTAAAGGAGAAAGAAAACAAAATCATAGTTGACAGAATTCAGTATCCGCAGCAAACTCACTTGTCCCATTTAGCATGCAGAAAAAGTTTCAGCCATTCCACATAACCCAAGTGTGGACTTATTCCATCACAGTTCGACATTGAAGAGGCAGCTTTTTGTTTGAGAAAACAAGGAGTAGTCTTAGAACCTAGATGAATCCTCCCCTCACAACACCTTAATAAAAAGAAACCAGTCCAAGTTGATAGAGTATCCTGTCTTCCCTTCGATAGTACAGTCGTAGATGACCGCTAAGAGTAACATGGTTGCACAGACTTCTGACCTGATAGAGTGATGAAGGGGGAGCATCACTAAAGAACACTAGCATCTGTACTTCTTTAGAGAATTTGAAGTGATCAAAGGGTGAGAGTTCACAAAGAGCAACGTAAACTTGGTAAGAAGCAATGCAGCGAGAGTGATGAGCTGGGACAGGGGGGAAAGCCGGCATGGTACGCCGATTAAGTCTCTCATTGTGTTCATTTCTCAAATGACATGAAATGCAACGTGTTCATCAAAGTTTAAGTGGAAGCATCAGGATTGTGGGCCCTTTGGGGTTGACGGAGACGCAGTAGCCTCCGGTGCATTCTTCTTGCCTCTCGTCATTCTTTCCAATTCGGCGGCTGCGTCTCGGGTTACTGCAGCTTTGTCTAGAGGGAAGGACAGAAAAAAAAAATTCATTAATAGGATAAAGTTGAGTTTTATCATAATCCATTATCTACCTGAAGGCTCATAAAGATTTTCTTTTTTAATTCCGATGATTGGCCTATCCTTTCTAAACCATAATTTCATACACCTTGAGGGACACACAGTGTTGTAGCCTTAAGGGGCACACCACTATCATTCACATGCTGTATCTCAGCTAATTATCGAGTATTCACTTGATGTTGGGTGAAATGACTATGACGGAGTAAAACACCTGTAACACATTACACCCTAACTCGCCAGGGAATTCCCTTACGCGCTCCACCCTGACTCGCCCGGAACCACCCGCGCCCACCTTGCGTCTTTAGAAACGAAGTCTCGCCTTGACGAGACTCTAGGGCCAAGATTTTGATTTGCATAGTTATTGCAAAAAGTTTCTTCTTTCTTTTGATACTGAAACGAAATTGTTTGGGCCAGTACTTTTAGTATTAGAGCTGATGGAAGTGCGATCGCATTACTGACACTTCCAAGGTGTCTCGACTTGTTGAAAAGCGACACAATTGAGTTAAAAAAGGAAATAACGATGGATTTGAGCAAAAACAAGAATATGAAAAATCAGATGGCTCAGATTTTGATGAAAGTGTAGCAAGAGTTTGGGGCTATTCAGATTGATCAGACGTAGAAAATCTAGAATTTAAATCTAGGGCCCGACCGCAAGGCTGAGAGTGACGGGTCGGACACCCCGACTGAACTAAAGTTAGAACATTTCCAACAGTTTGTGCATAGATCTACATAAAGTTATATTTCTCTGAAACTACATTCATTTTTCGTTTTAACTTTTATTTTTTCAGGATTTTTGGAATTTGTTCAGTATTTTTAAAATGTGTTTTTTAAAGGCTAGTATTCACGGGAGGTGGGTTCTTTCCCCTTGCTTAGGATCTACCAATGGACTTCCCGTCCAGGCCCTTAGGGTGTCATGTGTTAAGACAAAACATGCTACTCAGCAGTGTCATCAATCAAACTCACCATTTTGTTCGTGTTAGTCTGAAGCCTTACTACCCTATTAGGACTGGGTCTACTTACTAATTCGACATTATCTTGTACTCACTAACTACTTAGTTTACCTTTTTATCTTGACTATTCCATCACAACAAAGAGAAAAAACTGTGAATGTCACAACCCAACTCTTTACTTCTCTCTCCCCCTGGACTTAAACACAAACAATTTCATACTTGAAAACACATCATTTCTTTGACAGGCAAACTCCAGAGGTAGCAAAGGAAAAAGACTTACTTCCAACAGGCGTCCCCGGGGCTTTGCTGCTCAGCAGACTGTTGAAGAAGTTAGCAAGCATACCTTCCGTTGTAGCAGGATCCTGAAAGGCCAAAACACACAATAAAGTGCATATCAAAAATAAAGAATGATAACATCTTCACCATTTAACTTATTTGAGATACAAAATAGAGGTCAAATAAATATAGAAGCCTTCATAGAGGGTGGTGGACAGCAGGGAATTTATTGTTGAGTCACAGTATACATTAAGGGAGCATACTTTACTTTTTTGATCCAGCGGCCATCTGAGTTCTAGCCCTTCGGCCTAACGGAAGCATCACTACACCCACATTTTTGCTAATGCAACACCAGAACAGCCACATATTTTCCAGGAAGCAAACAACTTAAGAATAATTGAAACACGAAAAAAGACACAAAAAAACCCACCCACCAACCATCAAGACCACAAACAGAAGAAATTGAGGAACACGACAGCAGCATCTAAGGAGTTGAACACCTACCGGGTATTTCAAAATAAAGAAAAAAGCCTTTAAAACCGCCTCATAACGATTACGTTCCTCAACCATTTTGTATGAAGAGAAAACACTGAAGTTTGTTTTAGTAGAAGTTTTACGGCACTCGCAACTGCATAAGGTCATATGAGCGCCAGAAGATTAGAGGTGTTGCAAGAAAGTAACAAACAAAACAGCAGGAGCGGAGATAAGGACAATACATCTTTGAAACGAAAGAAGAAGCAAACCACACCAGAGCACCAGCCAACCACCCACAAACACTGAAGATCAATTAATCAAAGAAGACACAACAAACATGTTGGTGGCCTAGTGGTTAGGCTCTCAGACTCGCAACCATAAGGTCATGAGTTCGAATCCCGTCAGGGACCCGACGTAGTGTCCTTGGGAAAGGCACTTTACATGAATTTTCCTCACTTCACCCAGGTGGGAATGGGTACCCGGCTATAGACAGCGAAAGATCTTGTCAGTTTGTTAGTGTTTGAGCGCTTAATCAGCTGCTTGCACTGTATGCT